TGGGGCCTTAACCTCTGACCACCCCACCCCCTCTCTCTTTATCCTAGACCAAGTGGGAGTCTTCCTGCAAAGAGCTGTGTGGCTTCCGTTATCTAGAAATGTGGACTGCCAGCACTAAGGGTCTTTGGATGATCAGACCCACCATCCTATTTTGCAAACTAGGAAAACAGGCCCAGAGAGGAGAGGGTCTAGTCTGAGGGGCATATGTTCTCTCTTCTCTGGCTTTGCCCATATGAACATCTGCACTTGATACCCACTGAGGGGCCTGAATGATTTATGAGCATCTGTCATGAGCTGTGTTGGACATTAACTTATCTCCCTGGCACAGGATTCTGTCGCACTCTTATGCCTGACTGGGAAGAGAATTCCACGTGAAGGTGACATGATTTGCTAGCTGTTAATCAGAGGACATGTGGTGCCTTTGCGCTATCTTTCCTTTTGGGCTGGTCGTGAAAAAGTACTTTGGCATGGTCTGCAGTGACCTGCTTTGTCCCTAGCGGAGTTGTGCTGGTGTGGCCCTGAGACACGGACAAGATCAGGGCATCTGAACTCGGAGCAGACCCAAGTCCACTGGCTGGGTCAACTTGGATGAACTGCTTTGCTTTGCTTGGCTCATGCTTCCATATGTAAAACGGGATACCAGTTAATAATAATTGGTACCAGCAGGAGTCATTTATTGAGCATGTGCTGGACATGTGCTCAGGCATCCATTCATGCTCCCTTGAATCTACAACAACCCCATCAGGCAGGAGTTGTGCTCACATCCCTTTTACAGGGTGGAGAGACTGAACCTTGTAGAGGTTAACTTGCTTAAGGTCATTTATCCAACAAGTGACAGCCTCATTACAGTGGGGACAGAGAAGCAGTCGCACAGATGAACACATAGAAAGTGATGGCAGGCAGTGAGAAGGCGGTGGAGCCAGGAGAGGCAGTGACAAGTGGTAGGAGGTCCTGCCTAGACAGAAGGCCGGAGAAGGCCTCTCCGAGGAGTGACGTTTGAGCAGAGGCATGAGTGACGTGGAGGAGCAGGCCATGTAACTTGTCTTGAGAAAGGGAGCTCCAGGGAGGAGAAGCCAGTGGCTCTGAGGGAAAGGGCCATTTTGATGGTTTCAAAACCTGGGCATGTAGCAAGGTAGAGTCTGCACGTAGGCTTTGTCGAGTGCCCAGGCTCCTGGGAATTGTGTGTGTGGGTACACACCTGGGCACGTGTGCAGGAGGGATGCCTGAGAGTTGGTAACAGAGCAAATTCAAGAAAGAGTTCATAATTACAAAAAAAAAGGTCATAAGGACAGAATTCTCACTGACAAATGATAGCCTTTCTTTGCTAAGGGTTTAATGTAAGTACCCAACCAAGAGAAGCTGTGCCCCCTCGTCCTCAGCAGATCAGCACCTTGTCCCCATCCCTGTCCTCGAGGGTTTGTGTGTCTTAATTTAACTTTGTCACTCAGGTGAGATTCCTCCTCCTACTGAGGTGGTAGCTGGCTGGGGCACTGCTCCAGGTCCAGGCCTGTGGGTGACAGCCAGCTGGTTATTGTTCTGTTCCTGCAAGGATTTCAGCCTGTTGGCAGTTGGGGGATTAGGATCCAGCCCCCATGGGGGTGCGGGCATGGGAGCCGCTAAGCAGAGAGTCGGGCCCTGACGAGTGGGTCAGCATAGCCCTCAGTCCCAGGAGATATCTGCGTCAGCAAGCTGGCACACTGCAGTGGAAGTCCCCCTTGTTGGGCCAGAATGGGAGGAGCAGGAGGCTGGCACCATCTGGGGATGGTTTGTCTGAGCCCGGGCTCATGACATCCCATCCAGGCATTCTAGACTCTACCTGCACAGGGGCCTGAGACTGGATGTTTGCCCTCCGCAGCATAAACACTCCAGACTTTCAAGATTGCAGATGAGCAGGGCTGGGGAAGGCAGGACCTGGAAATAACTGTCAGGTACTCTGTATGTTCTGGATATATAAAAACTGTCAAGGACTCACTCGATGTGTTGACAGCACCCTCCGTGCTCCTTGTACATGGGCTGTTCTGAATTAGAAGTGGCCTCTGCCCTTGTGGACCTGTCTGAGGCAGGCATGGCACCTCCATGTATCCTGTGCCATGCCCACAGCAGACATTGCTAATCGATCCTGACACCCTTCATTGCCAAGTGCTGATTCGGCCTTAGGAGCCAGCTCCATGAAGCTGTCCCACCCCCACCCGCAGCAGCTGTTACCACACAATCAAAGTAACAGTATCTGCAACTCTTGGTCTAAAAGATGCTGGGACTTGTGAGAGGTTAAGGATCGTTTAGTCTAAGAATAGGGGACTGGTGCGCGCTTGGGTATTACAGCATTGAGCTGATTAATCTGTCAGATTTAGATTTATCTCTTTCTGTTTCTTCTCAGTGTTAGGAGTTGCTTTTTGTTTTTGAGTTTTTCTTAATTTTATTTTATTTTTTGCTATAGGTAAGTTTGTGCGGTTCCAAAGTTAAAACATACTAAACAGTGTCCTCAGAAGTCCGGCTTTAATCACTCTTCCCTCTGTCCCTCATCAATAACAATTTTGATTAGTTTCTGGTTTTTCCTTCCAGTGTTTCTTTTTACAAAAATTATATCCTGTCCTTTCCTCTCTTACTCAGAAGGTAATATACCATAAATTCTGTTCTGCACCCTGCTTTTTACTTGATAAATTAACCTAGGAATCTCTCCATATGTGCTCAGAAAGGTCTTTGGTCTTCCATCGTACGGACAGAGCACAGTTTACTTAGCCAGCCCCCTGATGGGTGTTTGTGCTGTTTCCAAGCTTTTGCTCTTAAAAGAAGCACTGCAATACATAGCTTTGTGCCTATGTTTTATATATTCATGGAATTGATGTATCTTCAGAGTCCATTCCTAGAAGGAATATTGGTTGGACAAATGCCAAATATGTCTGTAATTCTAGTAAATATTACCAGAGTCCCTTCCATCAGGGTTGCACCTTTTTTCCACCTCACTAGGGTACAAGAGAACACATTTCTCAATAATACTGTATTGTATATTTGAAAGTTGCTAAGAGAGTGGATCTTAAAAGTTCTCATCAAAAGAAAAAAATCTGTGACTATGTATGGCGATGGATGCCAACTAGACTTACTGTGGTGATCATTTTGCATATATACAAGTATCGAGCCATTATCATATACCTAAAACTAATATAATGATATATGTCAATAATATCCCAATAAAAACACATTATTTAATTAATTATTTTCAGAGAGTACATGTTTCTTTACAGACTCACCAGCAGAGTGTGTGCTCACACTTTTGTATGTTTGCTAATCATATAGCTGGGAAATCCTATCACAGTGTACTTGTAATTCACTCTGCCTTTTGAAAAAATATTTTTATTTTTCCTATATGGTTTTTCATTTCTCATGGTCGCGATCACACTGCAGATACAGAGGGAAACAGACCCCCTACTCCTGATGAGCCTCTAGGCCGAGCAGGGGGCCAGACTCCCACACATGTCGTGTCCTTGTGTGTGGTGAGCACCAAGGAGGCAGGGCCAGAGGATGAGTCTCTGGGGGCTCCTTGGAGAAGGAAGTGGGCAGGGAGTCAAGGGCAGCAGGGCAGCCTCTGAGGGGCTGGGGACAGGCTGGTCAAGAAGGCGGGACTAAGAGGAGAGAACCTGGCAAGGGCCAGGTTGGGAGAGCCCGAGTCCCGGGGTAGGACGCTGGCCAGGCCCTGCTTCTGAGGAGAGCCGACACTACAGAATAGTTTAATGCAGAGGTTTTGTGTCAGATCTGGGTTGTAGGAAGGGCCTTCTGGCACCTTGTGGAAGGTGGAGTGGAGGGAATAACAGGGAAGCAGGTCAAAAAGTAAGGACATGGTGGCGACCCCAGAGGGACCCTCTATGGAGCAGACCAGCCAAGCCCTCACGAGCAGTCAGGGAGCAGGGCTGCAGGGCCCTTCAAAGGAACCCCTTCTTCAAACCCCAGCTGTGTCGGTGGGTGGGGGTCTCCTCATGTGGAGCAACCATGTCTTCTGGGAGGTGCCATCCCTGCCCTGCTGGGTGGGGCAGCCATGACACCCTCTGCACAGCGGTTAACCTGGGCCAGGAGAGCAGATGAGACCTCTTTGTAAAAGGTTATTTAAGTCATCCTTTGTGTATCAGGTACTTTGAGGATTTACTAATCACTCTTTCTCTCAACAAACAATGACTGAGCACCTATATGTGCCGGGTGCTGTTTGAGGCTGGGAAGAAAGTCTTGCCCCCTGAAGCTCACTCATACATTGTAGGAAGTGTGGAAAACGCAGTGGAATCAAAGGTAAAGGAAACAAACCATCAGTAATTATGTCAGCAAGGACTTGGCCGTCTGTTCCCCTTGGTTGTTGGTTGTGTTTCTTTTTTTTTTTAAGAATAATAAATACCTGCTTTTAAAAAATTTCAGGGGATGTCCCATATCAGCAAACAGTTCTGTTTCTTGAACCTTCTATGGCTACCTTCAGTTACAATCATTCAGTGCAATGTCCTTGAAGCATTTGAAATGCCTCGAACATCAAAACACTTATCTCAAGCATACCATACTTTTAAGGTAGAAGTATTTTCTGTAGTGGTTACTATGGAGAGTTTGCTGGTTGATCTTTAGTGAAACACATTCCGCAGATACTCCAGTTAACTGAGATTTATATCCATAAGGTCGTGTTACTAGAGACAGAAAAACTTATCTTCAGCACTGTTGAGAGACCTGCTACCAACCCACCTCACTATCTTCTTGAAAATATGAAATGAAATACTACCTTAGGTGAAAAATGTTTACCCTGATTACCGTTATTCAGAAAAACATCAGTTCTTTTAAAGTTGATACTTAAAAGAATTGTGATTGTTTAACTGTCTTCCACACCTCTTTGATGTGCCTCAAACTTAATTACCCATGTTTTTATAAGAAAATCACTTTCCATGGAAAAAAGAATTTTATATGAAAATTTTACTTTGTAGAAAGTGTATAAATGTCATTCTGCCAGACAGACTTCCCACCCACCCCCCATACAGCTGTACCTGCGACATCTGTTGCATCATGAATATGAAACGTTTTACTCCTTGGGTAGAACCGTTTAGGTGACAGAAGTTTGCTGTTCAGCAAGAGCAATTCTATTGGATTTCTTTAAAATTTCACAGTGGTTATTGAAATATTAGTGTCGTATTGCTTCTTGCTGTGTGAGATGATCATCACAATGGTGAACTGCTGTCTGTCTGTCCAGTCACCATCATCACCACCAACACCTCAACCCTAGCACTTCTCAGCAGCATCCCCCATACAGATCATCAGGTATGGCAATGCAGTGATGAGGAATCCAGTCTTAAACTATTTAGATCCTCTGTTTAGATAGGTATTTGTACAAACTCCATTTAGAGTTAAAACTGTCCTATGTAACACATCAGTGTAATACTACAAACCATTCTTTCCTATAAATGCTTTGAAATTTTTCCTTGGGTGCATTAGGATGTATTTCTTCTTAGGACTGTTTTCTGCTTCTGAAAACGTGGTTATGGTCAAACCATAGGGTCAGTTTTGTATCCAGCTCTTCATAAGGGACTCACCTAAGGTCCTATTATATGGATATAACCATGTTTATTTAACCAGCTCCCATGTAGTGGATTTTAGATTGTTGTTTGTGATTTGCTGTAATAAGTAATAAAGCGATGAACTCTTTGTGCATGAACTTGTTTCTCTCCTTCTTTTTCTACTGTCAGGTTATATTCCAGATGTGGGATTCCCAGGTCAAGGGCTGTGGGTATTTTCAGGGCTTTTACCGATTATTTTATAAAAGGGGCAAATCAGTTTATACTCCCCACTGGCAGTATATCCGAGTGAGGACAGGTTTCTTCCCAGAGTGCTCTTAATGCCTCTGGGTCTTGACAAGAACCCTGGGCGTGCTGCACATGAGCAGATCGAGTTCCAGATAGGAGCCGGGGCTTGCCTGACCTCCACAGGACAAGTTAGCAGCATTGTAAGGCCTCCCGGGCACACGTCTCCCAGAGGAACACCAACCTTTTTCTCCCACAGGCTGTGGACCCCTCCTCTGTCGCCTTGGTGACCCTTGGCTCCTCAAAGGAGATGCTGTTTGAAGGAGGTCCCAGACCCTGGGTCCTCGAACCTTCCAAGTTCTTCCGGAATGTCACCTCCGAGGACATGGACAGCATTAGCCTGGCTCTCTTTGGGCCCTCAACCTCCCGGAATTACCAGCAACATTGGATCCTCGTGACCTGCCGGGCCTTGGGCGAGCAGGTGAGAGGGTGGCCACCCCCAGGCCCACCTTGCCCCAAGAGAGGAGTGTAAAGCCACATTCCCTGAGTACTCACAGCACCATTTTATCTAATCCTGAGAGATAGTGGCTATCACTATACCCATTTCATAGCCAGGCACACCAAAGATCGATGAGGTGGGAAGATGGAGTGGACACAGGCAGGTTGGACATGGTACAGCAGTTGAGACCCCTCTGCCCCCATACACATTGGCTTTGATGGAGCTATCCTGTCCTGGCTGCCTTCCACTGCCGGGGTCTCTCTCTGGGCTTCAGCATTCCCCACCACCAAGTCGGAGGTGGGATGAGAGCTGGGGTCACAGCAGAGGCCTCCAGGGTCAGGAGGGCATCGTGGATCAGTGAGACCTCAGGCCCAGGTTTGGCAGATGTTTTTGGTGTTTCAGGATAAGCTGAGGATGGAAGTATTTTTTTCTGCAAAATCTCTTGATCGTTGTCTTTTTCAATGCTGAAAACCAAAAACGGTAGGAGACTTGGTGGACCCCACGGAGCACATCATGACCCAAACCCCCACAGGGCTAGAGTCGGCCGGATGGAGCAGCAGCTCGCCCTCTGGGTCCCCCATGCTGAGCTCTCCCAAGGCTCAGGGCTGCGTACTCATTCTGCTTGTCGTAGGGACATACCCCTTGTTCCCAGGGTACCCCAAAGCAGGGAAATGAAAAGCAAGGTGGGAAGCCAGTGTGAATCAAGAAAAAAAAGGAGAGAGCCCATTTCTTTGGGGAATTGACGATTATCTTCACTTGTGTAACAGTGCAAAGAATGTCAAGCAATGTTGAAACACACATGCACGCCACCCAGAGTGCCCTCAAGAAGTTGCCATGAAGGGACAGCCTGGGTGTAAGCAGGAAGATGCCCAGTGAAAGGCCTTACTTCCCACTGGCTTTGTTTTTTTTTAAAAAAATAAACATTAAAGATTAAGAAAAATAAACATATAATGATAAGTAACACCACGGTAAGAATAAACTCAGTCGGGAATGAAGTTAGAGAAGTCCAATCCCTGGCTTGTGTAGGTCGCCTGGGTCCCCTCTATGCTGTAGAATAGGAGTTAGCCCCCCTCCAGTGCTCTGTACTTCAGTTCCCTGGGGCGTCAGTGTGGGAAAGTCGGGCAGAAAGCCAGCCCTTCATCCTGCCTCATGGTCAAGAAGGGTAAGGGACTTCCGGCCCAGACCATTTCGTCCTTCAGAAGGGGTATGTCATTTGAGGGGCCTCTGGTGCTCCCTCGGGCCATGCCATGAGCCACGGTGCTCATGAAACTACGGGTTGGCTTTGAGTGCTGAGGTCCCAGCTCTGAAAGCAAAGATGAGTTTTCCCTTGCTTTTCTTGCGTCTTTAACTTTCACCTCTGCAGCAGGCACCTGAGCTTCTCTGCGAGAGATGGAGGGAGTGAGGGGACCTGTGGCCATAATCCCTTTCTTGGCCCATCCCCACAGGCCTCAGTCCCACAGCGCACACCCTCGTACACCTGCACCTCCTTGTGACGAATGTTTTCAAGTCTGTGTGGATTCCTCACTGAAAACTCAGGGGCTTGTGAATTTGCTAATGCAGCCATGAGGTTTGCACAGGGTCCTGGGAAGCCATTTGGCATGACCCGAGTCAGTCGTCCCTGGGTCAGGGAGCAGGCAATGGGTGTGTCTGACATTTGTAGAGGGCACTAGGGGCTCCTATTGGAAGCTCTCCTGCATGTTGAGAGAGCCCTGCCCGTGCATACGTCCCTGGACCTCTTTATCTTCCTGATGCAGGGGCCATCGTCATTCCCATTCTGCAGAGGAGCACACCGAGTCCGAGGCAGCCCGGTGGCCAGGCAAGGCTCGTGGTGGAGCAAGGACTCAAATTCAGGGGTGTCTGACTGCCACTTCCGTTCCGTCAGGTCATCGCCCTCTCTGTGGGGAACAAGCCCAGTGTCACCAACCCCTTCCCTGCGCTGGAGCCCGCTGTGGTGAAGTTCGTCTGTGCCCCGCCCTCCAGGCTCACCCTGACGCCCGTCTATGCCAGCCCCCAGCTGGACCTGTCATGCCCGCTCCTGCAGCAGAACAAGCAGGTGGTGAGTGGCTGCTCAGGCAGGAGGGTGTGCGTGTGCCAGTGGCCCCGGTCCAGAGCTGCCCCACTGGATCCCCACACTCAGCCAGCCCTGTGTGGTGGGTGCTGCTGTCTCAGGTTCACATATCAGGGGGCCCAACTGGAGAGGTGGGGGGACTCACCAGAGTCACAATTTTTGGTGGCAGTGGCAGTGACTGTAGGGCTTCCCTGGTCCAGACTCGGCTCCCCTCTCTGCATGGCTCTTGGCTTCCTCCTGTGACCAAGGATGCTAAGGTGGGAGCCGTCCTCTGCAGCAGTGTGTGTGGTCACGGTGGGGCTGCTGGGGATGGGGACAGGCTGCAGCATTCTCCCTGGGGAGGGGGCAGGGGGCTGTGTTTTGAATGTAAATGTGGGGAATGGGAGATGGTCACTTGGGGTTAGTTACTCTGTCAAGCAGGGATGTAAAGTGACACCCATAGGTCTGGTCCCCTTGGGCTCATGGCCAGTCTCCACCCCAGGACACTGAGACCAGATGACTGGACGTGGAGGATGCGGAAGCCCTCTGTTCAGGGCCAGCAGCATGAACCCTTGTGGCCCATGTCTGCCTCTAGCCCCTTCTCAGAGTGGGAGACTGGGCTTCTTTTCTCTCATGCCTTCAATGTCTATTTGTTGAGCACCTTCTCTATGCCAGTCAGTTTTAGGTTCTGGATACAGAGTACACTTGAATAACACAGTTTGATTCTTTTTTTTTTTTTTTTCACAGTTTGATTCTTACATGGATTCTTTTCAGTAAATCTATTGGAAAATCTTTTGGAGGTTCGCAACAATTTCCAAAAACATTTTTTTTCTCTAGCTTACTTTAAGAATACCATATATAATACATATAACAAAATATATTTGTTAATCAAACGTGTATGTTATCAGTAGGGCTTTCTGCCAACAGTAGGCTGTTAGAAAACTTTTGAAGGTATCAAAAGTTGTACACAGATTTTTGATTGTGTGGGAGTCAGTGCCTCTAATTCCCAAGCTGTTCAAGGGTCAGTTATACTCAGGGCTAGTGAGGCACCTGACCCATGGAGGTGACAGGAGACCAAGATGCCACAGACAGGATTGGTCAGAGGTGGGTAAGTGCATGGAAGAAGTAAGGTAAGGTAGGGTGCAAGGCTGGTACCAGTGGAGGAGGGTACATACCACTGCAGGCCCCACAGTCAGGAGATGCCAGCAGAGAAGGGCTGAGGTGAGGGTTCTCCAAGCAGGTAGAACAGCATGTGCAAAGGCCCTGAGGCCAGACCAGTGTCTCTGTGTACCTGCTGCCCACATGGTATTCAGAACAGTGACATGAGCAGGGAACTTTGGCCTCTGTGCCTCGTTGCCATCACAGGACTGTCTTCAAGGCCAGTGTGGTTGCACCCCCTTCGGGGATTTGCCCAGGAGGCTTGGAGGTGGGCAGGCTCCCAAAGGCAGAATATAGATCTGCCCAGCTTCAAGTTCAGTGCCTCCTCGGCGGCCCCTGAAGCTGCTTCTCTGCTCCCAGCCCCTGGGCATGTGCAGCTGCACTCTGACCTGGTGGGGTGCTGAGGTCTGTGTGTCTTCTGGAGCCATCTCTGGTTGGGATCTCTCCGCAGTTTGCCCCAAGAATGCTCAGGGTGTATTCTCTGCATCTCTAGTGGAACCTATCTGAAGCTGAAGTTGGCAGCTTCTCCCACTGAGTAGCAGTGAGATTCGGGATTTGGCCTCTCCGGCTGAAGGAGGAGGGCAGCTTTGTGTTTGGTCTAAATACATCTCTGAAGCTCTGTGGGAGGCACCAGCGTCTGGACTTGGGTATATTTTGCTGTCTGGCATGTGACTCTTGGCTTCATGTGCCCTGCAGCTTTAGTTTGACTTCTCCTGCTGCTCTGGCGATTTGTGGATGGGCTTCCACCCTTCTTTGGGCTTTTCTGATCACGCAGCCAAGACACATGGGTGTGTGGGCCCCACACTACCCTGATGCTGGTCTTGTGTGGGTTGGTGCCTTGATGGCTTTGGTTAAAAGCAAGGATTCTTTGTCAGCCTTGAAGCCCTTTCTTACCTGCCCCTGCAGGGACCGGGCAAGGGATACCCACCTTTATTCTTTCTGGACAGGTAAGGAGAACTGGGCTGAGAGCCCAGAGCCCCTTGGAGTCACCGCCATGAAGCTGGCATTCACCCCGAGCTCAGGCCTGGGTGTCTGTGGCTTGGAGCCGATGACCTTCTTCCCAAGCTGAAAATCAGTGTGTGTTTGGGAAAAGACTTTTTTCCCCCTGACTTTGGAGGCTATTGAGATGAATGTCCTGGAAGTTTTACATTTTAAATCCCTTTTATGTAGTCAGTAAGTTATCCCTTATAGAAAGAATAAAAGCATACTAAGTCTGGGCTCTTCTGGAAAACCCGGCCTGCTGGGTCCACCATTGGTGCGGCCAGGAGCCAGAGAGCAGCCGACACTGACAGGCCCAGCAGCATCAGTCCGTCTGGGGTCTGAGTCCCGCCTCGCCTGTGGGCTGATGGTGGCCTTCTAGGGTTGTTTCAGGGGATAAACTTAACTGGATGGGCATGTTCAGAGTAATTGTTAATGCTTCCTGCTAAAATCCCGCAGTGGTAACATCCTAGTCATCAGATGTAAAAGCCAGAGCCCCTCTGGGACCTGCAGGGCCGGCGTCCTGGCCGCCGTCACTCTTTCCCTCCCGCCCAGCCCCATCCTGCTTGGATGCCCTGTCCCTCCCCGAGCAGCCAGAACGTGCCCTACGGGGTTTCTTGACTTGCTGGGCCCTCTGGCTGGAGTTCTCCCTGTGTCCCCAGGCCTGCCCTACTGCCTTCTGTTCTTTATTCCAATGTTAGCTTCTTGGTGAGGCGTCTTCAGTCTTCAGACCTCATCTAAGGTCTCACCCCTGCTCCTGACAGTTTTTTTAATTCCAGCTGCCTTCCTCCACTGCCCTCAAGCACTTAACATCACCTAACACTGTAGAATTTATGTTTTTCTTTCCTCTTTGTGAGTCTGTAGAACCGAGCCAGGCTCATGGTAGGAGTTCAGTATATGTGGTGGATGAATGAGCATGCAAATAAATGTAGTGTTTGTGTCCCTGTTCTCTTTTGCCCTTGCCTCTTGTAGGCTCAAATGCCTGGAGAGGCCAGGTGGGGGCGCTGCGGAAGAAAGGTGCATGGGGTGGGCAGATGGTGTAGACCTGGGGAGCAGGTGCTCAGCTCAACCCCAGGTTGGCCAAACCTCATTTTCAAAAACAAAAACCTCAGATCTACATGCATCTTTCCTGTCTTTAAATATTGGCTACTTGCCAGGCAAGCCGTGTCTGTCCGGCTCTCTGCTGTGACCTCTGAGTCAGCCAGGTTGTCTCTCTCGACTGAAGGATGATGGTAAGGCAGCGGAGCATGACTCTGAATTGGCTTGCACGTGTCGTAGATCTCTCTCGCCAGGAAATAATGGACTTCGAACATGAAATTGCCGTGTGATCCATTAGTCCTGGGGTTCCAGAGGTTTGAGCTGATCAGGCATGGCCTCTGCGATTTATGGTCTCACCAGGGAACCTTGGGAAAGATATATGCCTGCTATATACCTGGGTACAGTATCAATTTAGTTTTACATCTCTGCAAAGCCAGAGGCCGCCCAAGACGTGTGTGCAGAATAAATTATGGGCAAGGCCAGATACCAGAACGGAGCTGACTGGTCAGAGTGACAGAGTGGGACCAGTCTCTGGCCTAAGCCTGGTGCTCTGAGCAGGTCATCCAGTGTTCAGCTCACTGGTTGAGCACCAGTTGTATGACAGAAGAGATTGGCTGGGGTTTGGATGGAGCGGCACCGGGGAGAGGCTGGATGGTGTCAGGGATGGCCTTTGGGCTTTCAAATTAGAGTGGCAGAGTTCTACCCCTAAACCTATGTGACCTTGGGCAAGTTGCTTAACATCTTCAAACCTCAGGTTCCACAGTGTAAAGTGGGGATAATGTGGTCTCAAACGGCCATTGGAAGGATTCTGTACGCTTGCAGGCATGCTTGGTACAGTGTTAATGTTCTTCCTGGGATAGCAGGAGGGTGGGAAGTATTAGTTTTTCACCTAGGATTGCATTTGGGGGAAGGTGCAGGGATCTGGAATGTGCCCTTTGTCCCCGCCCACAGCCACAGCTCCCCACCTCACATCCAGAGTTATCACAAAATCCTCTGCATCCCCAGCTGACTGTGCTGGCCTGCATTTAGAATTTGTAAGATGCTTTGGCCCAGTGTTCCCTGGGAGCAAGAGAGCTAGGGCTTTGGAAGGAGCCCTGAAAATGGAGGCAGGGACTTTGTGACTCCATCAGTCAGGGGAGGCTCAGCTCGGCTGTGGTAACGAACAGCCCCAAATCCCAGGCTCAACTCGGCTGCAGTAATAGACAGGCCCAGTTCACACAGCACAGGCTCGCTTGCTCACAGTGCATGTACATTGCAGGTAGGCTGGGCGATGTTATTTTCCTTCTAAGACATAGACACTGAAGCAGCTGCCATGTTGTTGAATGTGGCCAGGTGACACTGTGTGGAGAAGAGAGCATGGCAGGTCATTTCACTGGCCAAAGAAAGTGATGTGGACACTCCCGACCACAAAGGCCAGAGGATTACAGTCTTTCCTTCTGGACCTTGGCTAGCTGGAGAATTGGACATTTGTAAACATGGCTGATGACTGCCCATTTCCCTACTTGAGCCATACTCTTTAAAATCTTGCATGACCCTTATTAAAAACAGACTACTGGGTTCTGTTGTGATTTCTACTTCATAGATGGGGAAACTGAGGCTCTGGGACATCAACAACTTGCCTGGTGGCAAGAAGCAGAGCAGGTGTTCAAGTCCAGGCTGTGGGACCCGGCTGTTTATGCACTTAGGGTCCCGGCTTTGCTGCCTACCCAGCCTGAGGCAGGGAGGGAAAGGCATGAACCAGCATCTGGGATTAATGAGAATAATTTGATATGGGCTCAAAGGGGTGGATTTGGTCAGAGAGCAGAGGTAATGATAAAGTGGTAGGAGCTTGGGGTCTGGAACGAGCTCAGAAGTTGTGCCGCTCATCTACTGAGCCACTTTTGATTCATTCCTTCTCTGCCTTGGGACTCTGCTTCTTCACCCTTAGTATGGGGGTGACAGCTCCTGCCTCACCGGGGTATTTAAGGATCACGTGATAACTTGGCTTTAAAGGAACTTTGCAAACTGAATGGCTCTGGGACATTTTAGGGGTTGTCATTGGTATTCCTGTTAAGCCTCTGTGGGGGATGTCCAGGAGGGGCTGTGGTAGACATGGGGTGGGGAGGGGTTGGCAAAGGTTTGGAAAGGCGAGGGCGAGAGGAAGATCAGCCCGCCAACCTCAGCACCACCAACATTTTGGTCCAGATCCTTTCTTGTGGGGCTGTCCTGTGCATTGCATGGTGGTCTGCAGCACCCCTGACCTATACCCACTGGATGCCAGTTGCACCCCCCATGATTCTGACAACCAAACATGCATCCAGACATTGCCAAGGCCCTCTGGGGGATGGGGTGGGTGGCGAACTTGTTCTGTGTTGAGGACCATGGGCTGGAGGAGGCCAGGTTGGACAGGGCTATGGGGCACCATGGCAGTGGGCAGCTGTGAGGACTGGGTAGTGAACCGCCCCCACTTTCTCACCAGGACCCTACAAGTCCACAAGGCAGCCAGCTGAGCTCAGGGTGCACCATGTGGTCAGGAGGAGTGGTGCTCAGGCCTGGATGTGGCCATGGCAGCTGACCTTTTCTTCTTGCAGGTTCCAGTCTCCAGCCACCGCAGTCCCCGACTGGACCTGGCTGCCTATGACCAGCAGGGCCGCAGGTTTGACAACTTCAGCTCCCTGAGCATCCAGTGGGAGTCCACCAGGCCACTTCTGGCCAGCATAGAGCTTGACCTGCCCATGCAGCTGGTGGCCCGGGATGATGGAAGTGGCCAGAAGAAGTTGCATGGTGAGCTGGGTGGCAAGCCCCATGGCCTGGGCAGGAGGACAGAGTAGTGACACCCCAGACAGACGAGAGGTTTGCTGGGGAGAGCTGGCAGCTGTCAAGAGCTGTCATCTATGATGCCCCTTTGTCTAGGGGTAAAATCTAGGGAGCATCGTGAACTCGCTGCCCACCTTTGATCCTGCACAGACATCCTGTGAGGCAGGGGCTAGAATCTCTATTTCAGAGATGGGGGAACAGGCTTGGGGCACATAGCAGGTAAGTGTCCAATCGCAGGTTGTATGGAGCAGCCAGGCACCAAGACCTTTGCTGCTCTGAGTCCCGCTGCCTTCGCAAACCCCTCAGCAGCCAGAAGTGAGTCCAGCTACTGCTGCCCATCTAAGCTGCTCCATGGAACCTCACTCCAGGCCCGTTAACTCCTATAGTACATGCAGTTTAAACAAAGTCGGTATCTACTTTTAGGACTGTGGGACATTTAAAACTGCAAATCAAAAGTGGGGTGGGGCTGCTTCACAGGCAGCAATGGGGCACAAATCCAACATGGGCTTCTCTCTCCCTGGACCAGGTTTTCAGGCCGTTTCAGTTCACCAGGCATCGGGAACCACAGCCGTCTCCGCCACGGCGACAGGCCACCAGCAGTCCCACCTGAGCGCAGCCAGAGTGAAGCAGCCGGTAGCTCCCAGGGCCACTGGTGGTGGGACCCTGCTTCTGTCTGAGCTCTGCCCAGTGTCGCCGAGTCCTGAGCCCCTCACTGGGCCCTTCCCTCAGCTCACCACCCCTTCCCTGAATTGCTGGCCTTCTGCCCCTGGTCCCTCTAGCCCCCGACATGCCCTGCATTTGGGCAACTAGAGGGAGCCTCCTAAAAGGCACCTCGGTCCTGCCACCTCTTGGCTCTGGTGCACAGCCCTGGGCGCCCTTGGCCCTGCAGGAGGAGGCCGTCTTCACCGTCAGCCATGGCCTGCCCTTGCAGCCTCTTCCCCCATGGTCCTAACCTCAGACTCCACCCCACGTGCCCAGGTGGTTCAGGCCTCTGTGCTTTTGAGCTTCCAGTTCCCACTGCCTGGAAGGCTGTCTCCTTCCTCCTCTTACTCTGCCCCACCAGGTGGCTTCCTGTCCTTGGGGTCCCAGCCGCCTTATCAGTTCCTCTGTGGAACAGTCCCTGAACCCCCAGCAGAAAGGAGCTGCTTCTGGCCTAGATCCCAGAGCCCCTGCTGCCCCCCACTATCATAGCGCAGACCCCCACCACACACACACCGTGTCCGCCATCTGCATACACGTGGACCATGGCTGCTGGACCACACCTCCCCATCCTGGCATCTCACAGGGCCCCAGGCCCAAGACTGGTCCTACCTCGATGACACCCACCCCATTGTAGGGAGAGGCGTCAGTCAGTTTATGTTTTGAGTGGGTGGAGGCAGCAGATACTGGCCAGAAAGGGAAAGTGCGGCCAGATTCCAAGGGCCCAAATGCCAGGATGAGGAGCTTGAATTGTCTCCTGGGTGGTGGGGAACAGGGGAAGCTTTTGAAGAGGGTGTGACCCCCATGGAAGCAGCACTGGGGAGGCTGGCCTAGAGGAGGTGGCCCTGAAGGAGCATGCCTGTGCATCCTCATGGCTTAGCCCTCACTTGTCCCCATGGGCACCAGGAATCCCTTGGCTTCAGTGGCCTCCCTGCTGGGGCATGAATACCCCGAACAGATCCCCCCTCTGTCTTGATGCTCCTTGGCTTGTGGGCTTTTCTCTCTTGATTGACATCACTTATGCCTTTGTTTCCTTTAGCCTCTGCTCACCTGAGAGCGATTGTCCTCCACTCACCCCTCATTGCCTTCACAATCATGTGATGCTCCATCCCTTTCTGTCATTCATTTACTTTTTCTTTCTAATCCTTGCATGAGATTGAATTTGCATAATCCCCCTATGGGCAGTGGTTGAAGCTCTAGTCCTATCATGGTACCTGGCCCAGAGTAGGTGCTCCATTATGTGAGTACATGGGTGGGACCCAGCAATCTCCCTGGAGTAACATGGGCAGGCCACAGAAAGGCTCAGAGAGGCACACCACCTGATGAGGGTGGGTCGTGCTTGTTTTCCCAGGAGCCCACCATGGGGACACCTCCATGACCCCTTCACACCCCAGTCTAGTTCTCTGCTGTTGGCTCCAGTCCTTGTCCTACCCACATGGCACTGTAGCTGCAGTTTGCTGTGTGCTCCCCCACTTCCCTGGGGTGTGTGTAAATTGCCCTTCTCATGGGGGACTGGCAGATGGGATGGGGTACCCACCTTGGCAGGATTATGGATGTCTTAAAGGAATGTGGCTCCTTGGTTGGGCTCGGAGCACAGTGGTTTTACTGAGGCTTGAGTCCCTGATGTAATGAGTGCCCTGGGATGACTCCAGGACCTGGGGCTTCTACTTCTACTCTTCCGGGATTGGGAGCCTGTGGGCTGGCCTGGGGTTGGCCTGTGGCCTGCTGGATCTGATGACGCTGGCCTTGCCCCTTCAGCATGAGCCTCTAGTGCCTGTGTCAGCCTCCATTGAACTCATCCTGGTGGAGGATGTGAGAGTGAGTCCAGAAGAGGTGACCATCTACAACCACCCCGGCGTGCAGGTATGGTCCTCTTCTTGCACCCGACTGCCTGGGTGTGAATGGGGGCACCTCTGGCCTCCGACCCCCAGCCTGACTCCTCCCGCAGGCAGAGCTGCATATCCGAGAAGGCTCCGGCTACTTCTTCCTCAACACCAGCACTGTGGACATTGTCCAGGTGGCCTATCAGGAGGCCAGGGGCGTCGCCACTGTGAGTATGGGCCCTGTCTCTGTGACCCTTTTAATTCCTCATTCTGGGGGTTGGGGGCTTAATAGATTGATTATTTCCAAGCCTGGCACTTAATCACATCACATACAGTTAGCAAGGTCTTCAGCTTCTCTGATCCATTGTTTGTGAAACATTAGTCATCTGTATACTACCTTGGTGACTTGTATTCCATTTGTACAAACTACCTACCCACACTACTAGTTAGCTAATGGCTTCCTTTCAATCCTTTAATTAAGAATAAAACATTATTAGATAATCACCACACTTAACAACCCTAAAGAAAATTGCTTTTAAAAGATATTTTAGCTTTTTCTATTTTTCCACATTCCTTTCTTGGCCCTCTCCTCATTCTTGCAAATACTGGCTTAGCTTTGCCCATGGTATGGAAGAACTGATTTTTGGCTTTTTTCAATGATTTTATCCTAAGTTTTTTTCTTTCCCCTATGTTACTGCATAGGCTGGCTGATTATTTTTGTGCAGTCATTTGTACTTAGCCATTCTCTCCTGGTAGAGCACTTGGGTTGTTTAACTCTTTTTGTTTTTTCAAAACAACCCTATAGTTATAGCAAAGAGTGAAAGCAAACACTGATATCCTAAATGTCTGCATATCCGTCCATGAGTTGCTATGCAATAATGAAAACAGAGCTTTCCTTAAACGGAAGCTTACTGCCGACTGTGTCAAACCCCTGCCATACGTCAGAAATGGAGGCAGCCAGAACGAAGTTACATCAAGGACACCCAGGCAGTGTCACTATATTGCACCCATGTTGTTGCCTTTGGGCCACTCTGAGCCCAACACTTGCTTTCCCTTTGTTAAAGGGTGGCTGCCAAGTCACACCAGCACCAGAGGAGACTTTCTTGGACTGAAAGAGGCCTGTGTTGATTCAGTACTTGGCATGTGGTAGGGATTCAGATGGTCTAGTGAGGTTGGACAGGTCAAGGCCTCACCTTGACTGAGAGCAGACCTGCAGGCCTGATGTCTGTGCTGGCTTTTAGCATTGCCCTGTTCATGCAGGCAAGCCCTCGCAGGCTACAATAACACAAAGCAAACTTCCTAGGTCCAGGAAAGGCTAAAAACAGAGTGAACTTTGACAGAGACCTGTCTCCAAATCTCCTTTAGAAATACAGCCAGAGTACCTTGCACACAGTTGTGCAGCAAGGTTGTGGTGTAACCAGAAATCGACATGTCACCTCATTCTCTGAGGGTTTTTTTCAGCAATACCTCCCTCCAGGTCCATTTCTCTATTTGTATTTATTCACTGTCTTGACACAGGTGTTGAAAACTTAGTTGCCTCTGGAGTAGGACAGGTGTTAAGTAAGGGAGGAAAATGAACAGGGTGTGAGGTGCATCCTTGGAAGTGCTGTGTGAAATGGCACCTGATGCTTAGCTTCAGAACTGGAGAGTAATGGGGAGTGGTGGGGACTGTGGCAAACTGCAGAGCAGAGACTGTCTAAGGGACAGCCATTATTCCTCTCTAGCTGACTTTGTTATTTTCAGTAACAGCTTTATTGAGGTATAATTTACATACCATACAATTTGCCCATTTAAAGTGTACAATTCAGTGGTTTTTAGTCTATTCACATATATGTGCAACCACCACCACAGCTTTAGAGTATTTCCATCACTTCAGAAAGAAAACCCATATGCTTTAGCTATCTCCTCCCTGTGCTTATAAACATACACACACACACACACACACAAAAGGGTATTGGATCTTGAAAAATGCTTTTTCTATATCCCTTGAAATAATTATGTTTCTTTTGTTTTTTATTCTATTAATAGTATGTATTATATTACTGACTTTCAGATATTACACCAACCTTGCATTCTTGGGATAAATGCTGCTTGATCATGATAGATAATTCTTTTTACATGTATTTGGATTCAGTTTGTTAGTATTTTATTGAGTTTATGTTCATAGTCATGAGATACTGGCCTGTTGTTTTCTGCGATGTCCTTTGTCTAGTTTGAGTATCAGTGTAGTGTTGGCATCAAGAAAGAAGTGTTCCCTCCTCGAATTTTTGGAAGAGTTTGTGTAGAATTGGTCACAATTACTCTTAAATGTTTGATGGAATTAACCAGTAAAGTCATCTCTTTTTTAACACTAATTCAGTCTTTTCACCCATTACAGGTCTATTAAGATTGTCTGTTTCTTTTTGAATCAGTTTTAGCAGCTTGTATCTTTCTAGGACAAAAGTTTTTTTTTTTTTTTTACTTTGTTTATATTCTTGCGGTGGTTGACCTTGTCCATTAGTTATCTTGTGGAGGGGGCACCTTCTCCCAGGGCAGTTCCTTGGTGAAGGGTGAGGTAGCATGTGACGCTATTCCTAGAGGCAGAGTCACAGGCGGCAGGACCTCTTAGTTTATCAGTGTAAATCAGAGCAAGAAAACACTCTCTCAGCACCGAGGAACAAATGTGTATTAGAGGAAGCTTAGGGTCACAAGAAGCCTGAGATCATAGGAAGCCCTCCCCTAACTAAGCTTTTTATTCCCTTTTTAAAGAAAGAATAATTCCCTGGCCATCCCTCCTGCCTTGCAAATGAGTGTTCACTGTTAAGTCCTTCATATTAAGGACTTATTGCTGGCAGGCCTGCCTCTGTCTCCCGTAATTGTGTCTTAGTGAGCCTTAATGCATTCATGGTCTCTGATGAGGGGACAGGACTTGCCCCTCTGCTCTGTATTCATCCAAATCGTAAATAATGCCCACTGCTTGAAATATGCCTTGCTTTGCTTTATTTCTGGAGATGAAAGATAACTCGCCTGTTATCAAGAGAGAAGTTTCAAGTTTGGGAAAAACTTGTACAGTGCCAACAATACTTGGAAACACTTGACTCACAGTTGCCTTGCACCACATTCTGAGTAAGCCCTGAGGGCGGACCTGTGGCCAGAGAGAGACCTTTCCTCCAAGAACAAGAGCTCCTAAGTGATGGATGGATTAGGTTTCCTCCATAGGTAGTAAGCACCCTGTCTCTGGAGGCATTCAACACAAGCTGGGACCCTTGTCTGAAAGACTCCAGATGGGATTCCAGCATCAGAGTTGTTTCCCCAGAAGACCTGTGAACCTCTGTTCAGTTCTGCAAAGCTGAAACTATGGGATTACCCGATGCAGTCTCTGTCAGCAACTGATTCTAGGATTCTCCGAGTCAAGAATTCGTGGCCCCATTCACAGATGATCCCAGCAGAGCTAGCGCAGTTCTCTATGGTTTGTGGCCTGGCTTCTACTCATGTGTCTCATCCCATTCATGCCTTTTGTTGAGTGGGAGAGCACCCATTGCCAGGCATGACTGAAGCACAGGTCTGGCCCTGTGGAAAGTGCCAGCAGTGAGTGGCAGGTCCCTCAAGAATTACTTTTGCCCCAGAAGGTATCCTGGGGGCACCATGACCACTGGGGTTTCTGCTTCCCACCATCTCAGGCCTGTGCAGAGACCATGGCAGCTCCCGCTGGGAATAGGTTCTGGTTCCCACTGCCTCTCAGTAACCAGCAGGAGGAATTTGTCATGGAGCGTTGACAGTCTCTGACAGGTCCTAGCAGCTTCTCTCAGATGGTTCTTTCTGAAGGACGTTTACACATTTCTTTGGCATTTTCCAGCTGCTAATTAGCAGCATTCTCATTTCCCTTAATCACAGAGATAAGAAAGCCCACAGCAGTTCTCCAATTAGCTCATAGAAAACGTTTGTTTCTTTCCTCTTGATATACATTTGGATGCAAGAATTTGGCTTCCGAGTGTGAGTGTCTCTGGAAGGGAGCGTAGAACTCGTAGAGCTCACACACCTGGGCCTTTGTGAAGGTTGCAGGTCCCACATGGGAGCCAGGGGCTACACCGAACTCTGGTCACACCACCCCAAGAACTCTGCAAGGGGCTTTATTTCATTTTTGGCTAGTGTGCACATAAGAGCGCTTACCTGATTTAAACTTGCCGGTTCCTCTCAACAGTTCTTTACATTTAAAAATAAGTAATCTAAGCAGAATCCATGTGATTATAAGAGGAGAGGGAGGCACCTCCTGTGTGCTGAGCACTTCATACCTTTAGTTAATGTATTCACTCAGCAAAGATTGGCTCCTATCATGTCCTGGCCCCACTGCAGGTGCTGAGGATTCAGTGGTGAGCACGTCAGACGGAGGCTCTGTACCCACGAGCCACAGTTGTTTCTGCTTCCTCGGTCCTGTGATGGCACAGCTAGTCACAGAGGCACTGTACCTCCAAGGAGGCATCAAGAAGGGAGATGAGGCAGGTAGTAGGTGGCAGCCGCAGGGCTTGAACTCAGGTGTGTCTCCTCTTCTGGCGAGAATGACCTGTGGACAGAGCACCTGTGCCCAGTGCCACCCCAGAGGAAAGCCTTAGGGCTGGCTGGGGTCCCTGGAGGAAGTTTAACCCAGAGCCCAAGCCAGGACCCTTCTCAGAGCCTGATTATCATGTGGTCTTGGTCATTCCCCACATTCGCCATGGACACAGACCCTATCACTCTTGCATGGCACAGCCTGGCCCATATGCAACATTGATGGGCACACTGTAGGAAATGGGAAAGGTGGCTCCTTAACGTTTGGAAATGTTTGTAGGGTCCTTAGTCTTCCATAAATGCCACCCATCAAGGGACAAGTGTGATGGGGTTCAGGGACGTGAAGAGCCAAGAGGATGTGGGCAGAACCTGGGGCCTGGCGGGCACGGGTGGACGTCACTTCCACGTCCCGCTTGCTGGCAGACCTGCCTCTGGCTGCCCTAACTGCGTCTTAATGAGCCTTAATGCATTCATCGTCTCTGACAGGGTGACAAGACCTGCCCCTCGGCTCCTTATTCACTGACGTTCTTCAACACGTAGACTTTAGAATTCATTCTGGGCATGGATTGCCCTTCCTCTTCTTACACGTGTCCTCCCTTATCTCAGTCAAGAAGCAAGTGGGTCTGAAATGCATAGGGAAACAGGGTGGTATAACACACACAGTCTAAAGCTTGGCATGGAGGCAGGTCCCCACCTTGCTACCGGCTGGCTAACTAGTCTCCTTTCGTCCCCACCAGCAGCTTCTTTGTCTCTAAAGTGGCCAGGTGAGCACTATCTTAAAGCACTTTGCAAGTGGGGTGAAGTGAGCTGACATGTGCAAGCAGACAGACAGCCAGGCCTTGCAACCTCCCCAGGGATGGCAGCTTGATACCCTCCTGCACTTCTGTCATCTGGAAGGTGGCTGGATGTCCAGCCTCTGGGAAATCAAGGAGAATAGGAACTGATTTCCCCACTACCATTTTATGTCTTTGTTTAAGATGTGCAAAATGGTCCTTTTGAAGGAGAGAAAAAAAAGAAAAAGAGAAAGCCTTCTGTGCATTCCCCTGCGTGGGTCTGTCAGCAGCCAGTGCAACATGTAATTTCTTTATTCTGTGAAAGATGTGCCAGCCCCTGACAGCAGTAACTTTTGCAGGAGGAATCAGATTGGAGCCTTGAATAACATTATAGAAGAAAGTTCTCGTTTCTGTCTCTAACAGTTAAGTGAGTTTTCTTTGAGGGAAAGGCCAGGGTGCATCATCTTCAGCTAAGCTGGAGACCTGGTGGGTCTTAGGCCTGACTCAACCACCTGTATGTGACACCAGGCTGGTGTAGGGATAGCTCAGATTATAGAGCCGTCACTTTGGAGTGGAAGAGTGATTTCCTGGAATCTTTATTAATTAACTTTAAGTCATGTGAAATACTCTGAGCAACCTTCATCTGTGTGGATGTGCCCTTGAACCCAGTGGCACTGGCAGAATTTGCAGCTTGGCCAAGCTTGTTAATTCTCCGGGCCCTCAGTTGTAGGCTGGGCCAGTCTCAGCTCCCATCATTCCCTGCCAGCCCCCTTCCTACCTCCCCTGCCCAACAGCTCCACTCTGGTTGCTATAGGTGTCAGCTCTGGGAAGTGACAGCTTGTGGTAGAAGGACCCCTCCTAAACTGGGACCCCTGTACTCCCCAGCACTGCCTCTTCAAGGCTAGGTTCCCATGGGACTCAGTTTCCCCATATATGTATTGAAGGAGTTGGACCAGAATCGGCACTTTTCTCAAAGAGATGAAGGTACATGGAGTTTACAGATTTTATTTTTTTTCAGAATTTCTAATCGTAGCAAAGCTAAGAGTGAAGCTAAGCAAGCAGGCTGAAGCACTAGGTTTCTTTACTAGAGTCAGTGACTCAGAGCTGTGACCCTGAATTTTGATCTAATCAAGACACATTTATTGGGTGTAGTTTGTGGCAGATGCTAAGCTCAGTCCTGAGGTCGCAGCACAGGAGAAGATAGCCTGGAGGAGGAGAATGGGCACTAATCCTTGGTATACATCAAGATGGAGTCACATGTGGTGTAACTGTGCTAGAAAAAGTGACGAGAGGTGTGAAGGAACCTGCCGTGTGTGGGCCAAGACTCCTGCGGAAGGATGCTTAAAGGAGCCTGGAGGAGAAGTGGAGCCAGCAGGTGGAAATGAGGAAGAGGCCCAGATCCTGAAGATGGGCTGTTGTGGCCCTGAGGTGGCCAGCAGACACTAGCTGGCTGAGGAACAGAGAGAGCTGTGTGACTGCAGAATGATGGCCATGCAGGAGGGGATTTGCAGTGAAATTAGAAATTAAAATTGGGCAAAGGCCAGACTGCCAGGTTTTTACAGGATGTGTTGATCATTTGGACTCTCTGGGAAGCCTTTGAAGAGTTTTAACCTGGGTGTGACATGCGATCATACTTGGTTGCCTCCTTAGAAATCTGAAGTGTTTTCTTCATAGCTTCTTTATACTGAAACACACTGAGCATTCACATACACATACGTCCCCTCACATGAATGTAAGTCCACAAACTATAGGCAACAAAGCCAGGCCAGATGGAATTGGGAGGCAGCCCTCTGAGCTCACCACTAGCTCTGTGACTATGCCCTGCCTGTCTAGCCTTCCAGACCACCCAGTTGAGATATTCACCTAAGCAATATGACAAGTTGCTGCAAGTCTGTCTGAGTGATTATAATGCCAAAGAATCTCAAAAGAGATTCTTTTGACCGTAGGAGCACTGGGGAGGAGGGTAGAGAAAGAAGAAGACTGAAAAGGTTGTGTGTTGGGGGAGTGTCTTTGGCAGTGAAAGACTGGAAAAACAGTAGCTCAGATGTGTTCACTCAGTACATTTTATAAGGTCTCTGCTTCAAGCACAGCTGAGATAGAGATGAATATGGAGATGAATGAGCCTCAGAGAACTTATGCTTAAGACCATGGTGGCCTCTGTGATCTGTTCCCGGGTTCTGAGATTCTGTGAGTTGAGATTAGGACTTCTAAGTGAGAGCTCCATTTGGAAAGCAGCTGTCTTGTGCTTTCCCAGCCCCTGTCTTAATGTTCTTCTGTTAGCAGAGTTGCAGGGGCAGGTGGCCTGGACAGGAGATGTGGCATCCTGAGTTTGAATCCTCACCCAGCCTCCATGTTGCCAGGTTCCCCAAGGCCACCAACTGCCCCCCTTTGAGCAGCTTCCATTTTCTCCACTTTGTAGTTTGTACAGATTTGAAATAAATGCTCTCTGAGATCCATCTTGGCTCTAACATTTTACATTTCAATCCAGTGGGTGCTCATAATGAGGAATGGGCAGGGCAATATTTGGATTAGGAATTTCCTGGCCTGGAGTTCTCCAGGAGCGGGTGTCCCATGGGTGATAGGCTGATGCTGTGAGCTGCTTTGTGACTGAGCCCACCTCCGACCTTGCAGGTGCAGCCCCTGCTCCCAGGCTCGTCGACCATCATGATCCATGACTTGTGCCTAGCCTTCCCTGCCCCGGCAAAGGCTGATGTCTACGTATCGGACATTCAGGAGCTGTACGTCCGCGTGGTTGATAAGGTCAGTGTCAGCTTCCTGATAGGGCCTCCTCTGCACTAATTCATAGACACCAGGAAAACTGCAGCTGTGGGAGATGTTCTCCTGGTTTCTGAGTCCCTTCACTCGCCTCCCGAGTTGCTTCCAGCTTATGCTGTCTCTCACCTCCATTGTACCATGTGCATGATAATGGAGTAACCTCTGGGGCTGTCCTCCTTCATCCTGGTCGGCATCAGTAAAGCTCGGCTGTAAATCAGTAAAGCTCATATGAAGTCTGCACATTAGCCCTGCCTTGGGAATTCTTGCCCTCTAGCTGGTGTCGGTCACTAACCAGCCAGGCTCATTCATACCTTGCTGATCAGGTTTTGAATTCTGGGGAATTTCAGTGCAAATGAGTAAAATATACTATGCCAGGTGCTTTTGCACAAGGAATCCCTAGTAGATCTGATATTTTCTTTAATGTAAATAAGGAATTTTTATTACTCCAAATACCTGAAGTTCCTGTAGCTAGGCTTACAGGGACTGCTGTCAGGTTCCTGTTTTCCTGAATGCAGAGAATGGTTTATAATTAAAGGAGAATGCTTGAGCAGCTTAGATGACTTGAAAGTTGATGTTCTTATACAGCCTTAGATAGTCCTCCTGTGGTCTTATTTCCACTGGGAATTTTCTGTTCACACATCTGTTTCTTCACCAAGCATTTCTGCCTCTCATTTCCTCAAGTTCTTACTGTATGTGCCATGGGCTGCCAGGGGTGAGCTGCTGGGTGAACGAGCACATACTGACCTCCTGTATGCCTGTTGCCATTCTAAGCTGTGTCTTTCCTCTTTAGATTGTTCTTTAAGAATGGGGAATATAATTAATGCACCTAAGTATCCCCAAGGCCCCTTGTATACAGTAAGCACTAAATTGATTTTCATTTGCTGGTTGGCTGATAGTCTGGAGGTCAGCTAGGTCTGTGGGTTTGAGGCTGGGAATGCTTTTGCAGAAAGCTGCAGGGTGCCGTAGGCAGTGGAATTGGTTGTTCAGAGGCCACACCTGAGTCTCTGTTCCCCACGGTGTAGGTGGAGATTGGGAAGACCGTCAAGGCATATGTCCGGGTGCTGGACTTTCACAAGAAGCCTTTCCTGGCCAAATACTTTGCCTTCATGGACCTGAAGCTCCGAGCAGCCTCCCAGATCGTCACGTTGGTGTGAGTCCTCCCATAGGCCAGAGGAAGGCGTCTCGGAGACAGTGGTGACAGGTCCGTCTGGGGGCGGGGGAGAAGTCCCAGCCTGTCCCTCTGTTCCAGGGCCCTGGATGAAGTCCTTGACAGCTACACTGCCACATTCCGCATCCACGGCGTGGCCATCGGCCAGACCAGTCTCACAGCAACTGTGACCGACAAAGCCGGACAGAGAATCAACTCAGCCCCACAACAGATTGAGGTAGAGCTGTTCCTCTTTACGCCATATGGGATCAGCCCAGCCCTTATGGCATGCCCAAGGGGTGGGGGGGTTTATTTTTTTTTGTTATGGGAGTTCTAGGGGAAGTCTAGGAAGCTAACACGAAGAGGCCATATTAAAACCTGGGCCCTACAATGTCTTTTGATTAAAAGGGAGACTTTGCTAGTCCCAGGGGCCTGGGGTGAGCAGCCTCAGGGGGAACAGCCGAGTTACTTTAATCTCCCTCTGGGACATTGCTGTGGCTCAGAGAAGGGGAGCAACTTGTCACACAGCAAGGGAGTGGCAGACATTCTTTAACCCATGACCCCTTAAGTGTCAGAAAGTGGAAGCTGCAGAGAGATTGGGGCTCATGTGAAGTGGCACATCTTGTCAGTCTGAAGCAGCTCTTAGGGAGCTCCTAGGGCAAGTAATTCCTGGATGCGGGAGCCCTGAGCACCCCACCCCAGCATTATGTCAGTGTATGACGTAGGGCTGTCTCGTGGCGTTAGGCTTTGACAGGAGCCCCACTATCTCCAGGGGCCAATGCAGCCAAGGCTGAGAAGTCATTTACAGGTTTACCCTTTAGTGGCTTCTCCATTGGTCTTGACCATATGGCAGCTGGCAGGCTTTATATTCTCTGCATTCTAAAGCCAGCGGTTGTGGTTTATCTCTAGAAGGAAGTGCCCCTTTCTTCTCCCAGTGAAGAGGAATTCACGTGTGCCTTTAAATAGCGCAGCCCTACAGAAACTAATCTTCATGCACAAAGCAGCCCCTGGGCTGACTGGCACATTCACTCACCCCACCAGCTCTCCTGTTCTGCAGCGGGGAGGCCATTGGGGCTGTGCACTGCTGCAGAGATGGGCGCATCCTCTTCCTGCTGCCCCGCACCCCACCCCGAGCCTCTCTCCTCATTTGAAAATTTTTGAGGGCATTGAGGCAATCTTATCAGTAGAAATTGTAGAAATTTAGTGAAAGAGGCAAAATTCCAAAGAGGAGTTGGGACAATCTCAAAGGCAGTAGGTTGTAAACATCATCATATATCGAATCCACTGGAGGACTTGTTAAATTTGTCAAATGAAACACAAGGCTGCAGGACCCCCTCTGATTCTGTGGGTCTTGGGGCGGGGGACACTGAAGAATGTGCATTTCTAATGGTTCCCAGGTGACACTGATGTTAGGGGACCCACTACGAGAACCGCTGCTCCAGGGGGATGTCTAGGATGAATAGGTCTTTATTTCTACTGGGCTTGGAATCTGGTGAAGTGAAGTGCAGTCACAAACAGCAGGACATTCCCCCGAGAACTGCCGATCCTCAGGCCCATGGGTGGGATGAGATCCTGTGGGGACCACTCATGCCCCCCAGAGTTAGCCCAGGACCCCAGGCCCTCACCAGTCCTTCTTCACAGAGGTGTGATGGCCATGGGCCACATCTCCCTCTCACTGGAAATGCTAAGTGTAAATGTTAAGCTGTGTGAGCTTGGAACACAATGGTCCCCTTTCTCTCTTGTGTCTCCACACCCAGGTCTTTCCCCCATTTAGGTTGATACCCAGGAAGGTGACGCTGATTATCGGGGCCATGATGCAGGTAGGAAGCAAAGGCCACATCCTTGCCCCAGCCCCATTTGCCGCCGGGCACCAGGAAGGCCATCTCCTCCCCTCCCTGCCCCGGCTGTAGGCCTGCTCGCCCAGCTCGGGCATCAGGATGAGCTAAGATGGAATGCTTTGGGGTCTTGGCACCCTGGCCCTCTGAGGAGTTGTCATGGGCTGGCTGGGAGGTTGGAGCTGATAGACATTGCTGTCTCTCCCCACTTCAGATCACCTCCGAGGGCGGCCCCCAGCCCCAGTCCAATATCCTCTTCTCCATCAGCAACGACAGCGTTGCGGTGGTGCAGAGCACTGGGCTGGTGCGTGGGCTGGCTGTTGGCAATGGCACCGTGTCAGGGGTCGTGCAGGCCGTGGACGCTGAGACTGGCAAGCTTGTCATCGTGTCTCAGGTAACAGGCGTGAGTGCTGCTGGAGACAGGTGCCTTTAGAATGCACCCTGGACGGGGCCTCCCAGGCAGCTGGTGGGCTGGTCAGCTGGGGTGGGGAGGAAGCCCCATTTACTGCCTCTGCTCCCAAGGACTGCTCCTCTCTGGGGTCTTGCTTCTGCCCTCTGAGTCTGCTGCCCCTACCCTTCACCCCCACCTGCCAAGTTGGGGGCCCCCAGCCCCTGGGGTCGCTCTTCTCCAGATTGTCGCCCCAGCTGTCACTTATGGGACAGTTCTCCAGCCTGCTCCGGCCCTGGGGACATTTCAGTGCATGATGATGGCAGCGGCTATAATAGTCAGGCTCTGCACTGGGCACTGTACACTCACCCCCTTTAGTAGCCACACCTGCCTGCCTTTGTTGCCACCCCGTTTGTAGATAGTGGGCCTGAGGAAACAGCTAGTGACCCACAGCCACTGTGTGGCATCTGCCAGCATCAGCGCCCCAGTCCTTCTGTTTGTTATTTCAAGCAGGTCTTGGGAGTACTCTGGTGGAGGAGAAGGGGCACCGTTGGCTCTGACAGGCTCCGTGGTTTGCATTGGGAGCTTTCGGGGCATGTGCTGCTGCAAGTGTGGATAATTGGACACAACAGCCTTTCAGACCTGGAGTTGTATTTCCAGGAGAAAAAGAAAAAAAATCATTTTGCTCTACTAGAGGATATATCCCAACCCTCTTTGCCAAAGGAGGATATGTTTCCTAATTGCTTTTCCGCATTAGCAGAGATGCAGTAGGCTGAGTTAGGGAGTCCTCTCCCTGGGAGGGTCTTCCTGCTTGTGTTGGTGGCACTGACTCCAAGCAGGTGGAAGTGGGTGTCTTCCCTTCCTTTCCAGGGGTCTCTGGGAAGGTCTCTAACTCGGCCTACCAGCATCTCTGCTAATGCAGAAAAGCAGTTAGGGGACATATCCTCCTTTGGCAAAGAGGTTTGGGACATATCCTCTAGTGGAACAAAAAGATTTTTTCCACCTCCTGAGAAGGGCTCAGGGTGCTTGCATTCTCCAACATCCTCTGCCTGCAGCGACTTGTAGAAGTATCTCAGGGGAGGCTGCTTTGTGGTCATGGCTGTGCTGGCAACCTGGGTTCTAAGAGACTTTGGTGTTGTGTTGTGTAATGCAATTGTGGGCAAGAACCTTTTCAGAACCAACCCAGTCACCCTATTCCTCATCCTGACTTGGGCCCTGGAAAGCAGTCCGCAAGCTCCCCCGAGTTTGAAACATGTAACCATTGAGCGCCCCAGAGTAGCTTGTACTTGCACCTCCCTGGAGAAGAGAGGGCTGACTTTGATCTGACATTGAGTTTATTGATTTACTCCCTTTTCCAGCAGCTTCAGTGTCTTTGCAAGAGTCCTGCTTAAACCACAAAGTCCTTGGATTCTTGGACCTGGATGCCTAGATTCTACTTACTGATTTACTAAAGACAGCCACAAAGCTCTGGGAATGTAAAAATGCGTCCTGTGGCATACCGCAGGGTTCAGATAGACATCCTGGAGAGTGAGATGAAGGACCAAACAGGCCCTGCTTTTCTTTCTTTCTAAAGAAAGGATTGTGGCTTCAAGAACTGACCCACTTTTCCCCTCCTGGGCGCCCATGTGGCTGAAAAGGCAGCTGGCTAGAAGTTTGGTCAGAGGGGCACACAGCGATGCTATTTCCTCCTGGCCACTCCTCTCTGTGGTCTGACCGCTGGCTGCCTCCCTCTGTCATCTCCCATCTTGCAGGTTGGGGGAAAGCTGGGTGAAGGCCCTAGTGTTCCTTGGCAGATGGAAAAGCTGTGCCACCATCTCCATGTGAAAGGCGTCTCCTTGAGCCCAGGCAGGCAGCAGCTCAGCCCAATGCCCGTGTGTCCACAAAGGACATGCAGTCTAGTCAGAATCCCCCAGTTCAATCTGTTTAATCCAGGTCACAGAATTAACACCCAAGACTGAGGGGTAAGCCAGGACTGGCAGGAGGAGACTGAGTGGTGAAAAGGATGAGAGGAAGGAAGGGAATGAATGTTTACTGAGCACCTCCCGTGTGCCATATGTCAGCCATATCACAAGACACAGAAGGTAGGCTTAGGGGCTTTAGTAGCCTGGGTTCAACGTAAGTTAACAGCACTGTGAAGAAGCCTAATGAAGTTAGGGTTTGGCCAGATTACAGGAGTATAGACTTCAGAATGAAGGAGGTATGCTCTAATCAGACTCTGCCTGTCTCTTACCTTTGCTTCTGTAGCCCCCTCAGTCAGAGAGATGGACTAGATTTGGGACTGGGAGGGTCTGGAGACTGGTCCTATAAGGGTTTCCCAGCCTAGAGAAGAGCAGTGCCTGGTCACTACTCACAAGTCTCTGCAGGGCTGACCTGGAACACCTGGATCAGATGGGCCTGTGGCCTCAGAGGACATCCCATGGGTGCCTTCTAGCCATGTGACTCTGAGCTGGCCTGGGCAGGAGCCTCCTTCCTTGGATGGGTTCCCCTTCCTAAAACACCTGTTGCTAGCACATAGTGCCTACCCCAGCTGGCCTGAACCCCAAAACCCTTTTTCTAGGATCTCGTGGAGGTGGAGGTGCTGCTTCTCCAGGCAGTGAGGATCCGTGCCCCCATCACTCGGATGAGGACAGGGACCCAGGTGAGGCAGGGACCTCTCCAGCCCCTCCCGTCTGTGCTGTCAGAGCAGCCTCTTGCAGGTCTTGGGCTCTGCATTCTGGCTCAAGATGAGCTTGGGGAGAGTGCCACTGGGACCCCATTCCTCCTGCTGGCACAGTCTCCATTTCCCCTTCATCAACTTAGCCCCTGTCGTCAACAGCTTCTTTTGAAGCTGCAGGAGCCTTTCCTGCACCTCCTGCTCCAGGCCACATGGGCCCTCTATTTTCTCACTCCCCTTAGGCAGAACCTTTGCCCCTTCCAGCCGGATGCTGGTGCCATTAGCAAATGACACCTGTGTCTCCACTAGTCTTATCGCCTTCCCACACCTAAGGCAGCACCAGCACCTGTCAGCACCTGGCAGGAGTGTGCATGCTAACTGTGTATTAATACATTTGTCGTCTGGTAACAATCCATGAAGTAGCTGCTGGTACCATGTCTGTGTTACCAATAAGGATATGAACATGGGAAAGCTTAGGCCTCTGCCAAGGCCTCCCAGCTAGGAAGTGAGGAACTAGGAACCAACTGTGGCACCTGGCTTGGAGTCAGCCTCGCGTGCTGCTGCATTGCCTCCGTGCATCCTTGTAGGAGGCACTCAGTAAGTGCACCGAAGGTGCCTGGGAAGCCCACTCATGCCCCTCCCATGTGAGCAGGACCACCGCCAGATTGAACGAGCAGAGGCAGTGGTGCTGCTGGGGGCCTACAACCATCCCAGAGATTCTAGGGGGTCATTTCAGGAAGGGGGTCTTGAGGCCAAGGTGAGACAGCCCCCGGCCCAAGAGCATGGGGTGGGGAAGGACTAGTTCTGTCTTTTTCTTGTCCATTTGTGATGTCACCAGATCTCCCCAGATCTGTGTGTGCCCGCCTCTGGTTAGGGAGGAATGGGCTGAGCTCCTACCACGTGAAGGAGGCAGGAAGATTCCTGGGCAGTGGGGAGGTGATTTGGGTAGCTCCTTGGGCCTTCAGGGGCACTCCTGGCAGTGGGGCTCTGGTGGTCACGGGCCTGGCTTCTCTCCTGCAGATGCCCGTTTACATCACTGGGATCACCAACACCCAGAACCCTTTCTCTTTCGGCAATGCTGTGCCCGGCCTGACCTTCCACTGGTCAGTCACCAAGCGAGACATCCTGGATATCCGGGGGCGACACCATGAGGTAACTGCTGCCCAGAGCCCCCCACCCTCCATCCAGGGCCAATGTCTGGGTGGGGTTTCTCACCACGTTTTTGCACATGAGGTCTTTACCCTCACTTCCAGGCTCATCCTGGCCCCTGAAGGCAGCAAAATGATGGCCTTTTGGTGAAGTCACAAGAGCTCCAGAATATCTTAGGGTTGGCCGGGGTCCCTAGTCTGAAACTTCTGACTTCTGTTCTGAGATGATGCCTGGCAGCCCTGGGTTTTTCTCCAGATTTATCTCAGAGGCCAAACTCCCCTCCTTGTAGCCCTATACGGGAGAACCTGGCCTGTTCTTAGGTCTCAGAGCTGGAAGGTGCTAGAAAGAACCCACTAAGTCCCTCTGTGTTAATTGGAGCCCGTGCATGGGAAGGGACTTGCCTGCAGTCACCCCACGAGCCAGCAGGGATATGGGACTGGGTTCCAGCGCTGGTGAGTCTAGGCTGCCACCCCAGGTGGGCTTACCTGTGGACACTTGGCAGTGGTAGGTGTTGCTGGGAAGGGAACAAAGCATGAGGATGAGTTTTCCTAGAGGCTGCCTGAAGTGCATCTGGTGTCGGATGAAAGCTTCCCCTAATATACCCAGTGGGGCCAAGGTCCTGTCGCCAGTGCCAGGGGCTCCCCAGCTGTCCCTGTGGTACAGGCAGTGTGACTTACTCAGATACCCCGTAACACTGGGGCTTTGTGGGAAACCACTGCCAAACCTAGCATCCCTTTGGGTGATTCCTAACTCACCTCTGCACACTAAAGGCTCTGAGAAGTCCTGTGTGAGAGCAGTGGCTCATGCGAGCTGACCCAGCATTTTCTACCTGTACCTGTGAACATTGTAAAGCTCAGCCCGGGTAGGGGTGGGTGAGCTGGGGTGGGAGGGAGGGAGCGTGCTGCCCTGTGCTCAGTGCTGCAGGGTCTGGGATTAGCAGGCCCTGACCAGGGGGAACAGGCAGGCAGCTGTCGGGGACTTCGGAGGTCCTGTCCACCTCTGCCCTTTTGGGAATGCTGGGGCCCCAGGCTGTCCCTGAAGTCATGTTTGGTGTCTGTCACAGGCTTTGCTCCAGCTCCCGTCACAGTACAACTTTGCCATGAACGTGCATGGCCGGATGAAAGGCCGTACTGGGCTGAGGGTGGTGGTCAAGGCTGTGGACCCCACGGTTGGGCAGCTGCATGGCCTCACCAAAGAACTTTCCGATGAGATCCAAATCCAGGTAAAGGATCAGTGGGCAGAAGCCCCCATTAGAGGGAGAGTAAGGGCCAATCAGCGGCCCTTCTCCTCCCAGGGGCCGTGGGGACACATATCCATCCTTCTGCCACCCCAGGGCAGGGTCTGGGGGCCGATCCCTGAGGAGCTCTCAGTCTGCAGGGGCCTGGGGTTGGTGGTGTGTATGAGGTGCCATGGGAACCTGGAGATGGGGCTGACCGAGGACATCACAGGGGAGTGATGTTCTGGATGGGAGGGGGTGGCTGGCAGGTCAGGTAGAGGGAACAGCATGTGCAAAGGCCTGGAGGTCTGAAATTACTCAGTGTATTCCCCAAACAGTAGATAATTCTGAGCTTGAGGTCTGGGGTGTCTTCATGGTAGGAAGAAACTGGAAAATTCAGTGAGTGAGCCACAGGCCCTGAAGGTCCTTGAGCGCTGTGTTATGTGGGCAGCCTGGGAGCTGGTGTGACCCACTGGTTCACAGACAGAAGCTGAGCCTCAGAGAGAAATGTGCCTGGAGCCCCATGAGAGCGCACTGCTGAGCCCAGTCCAGAGCCTGGCCATGCTGTGCAGGACTGGGATAGCCTCTCTCTGCTGCCTGCCCTGCCCCTTCTGTCCCTCAGGGCCCCTCAGTAAAACCCGGATGTGACAAGTCACTGCTGAAGAGCAGTTTTAGCTTCAGAGGCTCCATTCTGATAATCGGGGACTCAGTGGTCCCTGGGTCCCTCTAAACTTCAAGAAAACTGAAAGCAGCCCGTAAACATCAAGCTCCCTCTTCAAGAAGCAATAAAGATTTCTAACCCAGGGGTAAAGAGGTTTTCAAAGAAAGATAGGCCTGTTTGTCAAACCCCTCACCTCTGCCTGCACACGTGTATATGCACATGTGCACACAGACAGATTTATAAACATACATACACATTACACATACACATCTAAAAATACATATATATGTACATAAAGACACAAATGAACATAGATATTCACATGGACAAACACACACATGTTCTGCCTGGTTAAAAATGCAATAAGGTCTGGTACCTATCATGGAATTAAAGATGGGCTTTGCAGCTTCCAAATTCTGTGACCTCAGTTGGGTCACTTAATGGCCCTGTGTCTCAGTTTCCCTAGCTGGCAGCAGATGGAGTTTGGAGTATGCTGGATCCAGCCCATAGATGTGTTTTACTTGGCTTACTCAGTGCTTTAAAACAATTTTTATTTGTTGCCAGCATTTAAAAATAGGAAGATTTTGTATAAAAATCCAATATGCAGCTTGTCCTGAAGACATGGCATTTTTGCCTCAGCCAAAATCAGGAGATGAGAAGCAACTCCACCCTTAATGGAGCTGTGCTCTCCAGTTTGCCATGGGCCCCACCACTCCCTGTTGCCTCCCTGGCAGCAAGGCCTAGTGTCAGTTGCCATTTACCATGGTGCTTATACTGTTTCTTCTCTTGAAGTGGAATTATCAGGACAGTGTACCTTTGTGTATCTTTGTACCTTCACCTCCACTTAATGAGGGACAACAAAGAATACATGTTTAAGGAAAATAGGAGGAAACAGGAGTTGAAATCAGTTAGGCTGCTTCACTGTGGATGCTGCCTGCCTGGTGGAAGGACTCACCTGATCCCAGAACCCCATCCAGCTCCCAAAAGCCGTTTATCATTCACCGTTAAGAGAGCACTGCCACTCAACACTGTTGCCCAAACCCTGCAGCTCTTTGAGACAGGCATGGCAAGGGTTAGTAGTTATAGATCCACTTTGCAGATGAGGAAACTTAGCTTGAGTATATGATCAGAACATAGCAGTGCTGGGAGGGAGGGGAGTCAGGGCAGTTTTCTCCTGGAAAATCATCTTTCAGTTCAGTTGATTTCAGACACTGCCCAGAGGCTCCCACCTTAAGGAGAGTCTGGCAGGCATGACCATAACAGAAGCCAACGGGAAGCTCAAAGCCGTGCCCGGCATCTGGGTTTGACTGCCAAGGGGGATGCTGCTGAGGGCCCTTAGAGAAAAGGAGTTAGAAGGGGGATGGGTGCTTCGGATGTGTACTGAGGGGTCTGGAGGTCCTGGTGAGTGCTGGGGAGTTGGAAGCCACTGAGGGCTTTGGGACTGCTGGGGAGGTGACAGGATTGGATTCAATGGGACATTATCAGATTTATCATCTGCTGCCCTGAGGTCACCGACCGGCTCTGTGCATCCTGAGGGGGCATGGCAGGACAAAGTGAGATGAGGGCGAAGGGGGTGGGACGGCAGTTGTCCTGAGGTGGTCATGAGAGAGAGGAGAATGTAGATGGAGCTTTCTCCAAGCTCAGACCTGGCAGAGTTATGGCCGAGTGAGAGCCTGGGCCCTGTGACTGCCCACTGCCTTCTGAGTACCCATCCTAGCAACCTCAGTTTGCCTCCCCCACCCCCCCACCCTGGGAACTCAGGCACGGGCCTGTGCTTCCTGGCTCCAAGGATCAGCTCCCTTCGGGGAACACAAACATGCACCTGCCTGCTTTTCCTCATCACACCTTGGCCTCTTAAGAGTCAGCTGGCATGTCACCATATGGCCTGACGGGTCCTTGCCACAGTGCTTTCATCTCTGAGCTCCCCTTGGAGCTCACTGCTGGGAGAGAAGCAGACACCTGGACGTGATTGCAATGCATCACAGGAAATAAAACTCACCCTCTATTCCAGGTATTTGAAAAGCTGCTGCTGCTGAACCCTGAAATAGAAGCAGACCAAATATTAATGTCACCCAACTCATTTATAAAGCTTCAGACAAACAGGTATGTGACTCAGTGCTTGTTCTCAGCAAGACTGCGAGGCTGTGCTTGCATCCCACCACTCATTGGTCAAAGTGGTCAGGAGCCTTGCTGCTTCCAGTAAACTCTACAATGGTGTGGGCTGTGTTTGAAATAGACATGCCTTCTGCATTCCTTCTCTTCCCTTGGACTTCCCCTTGCTCTTCTGTCTAACTTGTCCCTGCAGTTCCCTCTTCCTCCCTGTAGCCTGGAAACCTTTGAATACCTGCTACTGAAATCCAGTACTTCAAAGGGAAAAAAGTACCACTGTGGAAGTGTTAAGCTTTTCAAATGCCCCTGTGACCTCAAGACTTGCTTAAAGTATAGTCCCTGAACCAGCAGCATGGGCGTTACCAGGTTGTGTGTTAAAGTGTGGGGGCCCCACTGCAAGCCCGCACTTTTAACAAGGTCCCCAGGTGATGGGGATGCACATTTACATTTGAGAAGTGCAATTTTAAAGTGTGTCTGCAAACATAATTCCTACCTGGCATCCAGATACCTTTGATGACTTGTACGTGAACTACAGTTGCAAAGTGGGGGCTGGAAGGAGCACAGAAGTGCTCACGTGTTCCATGAAGCACTCACACACAGGGTGTTCATTCAGCCAAAAGGGGCTAAGGGCCAGGCTGTGTGCTCGGCTCCTGGAACAGAGGTGGGTGACATTGATGCCTTTCAGAAGTCTGGTGTGGAAGAGAGAAATAAAACATAAGAAAGGCTGTAATAAAACAAGGTATAATGTTTAAGCCATAGCACAATAAAGGGCCTTCCGCACAAGGATTTACTGGAGGCATGTCACAGATGGAGCTGGGTACTTGAACTGGGTCTTGAAGGATGAACAGGAGTCCTGCAGTTTTCCTTGGAAGAGGTTGATGATAATGGGAGTGAAAGCTGAAGCAGAAGCGGTAACATTTGCTGAAAGTCATCTGAGGTCCATAGGGCTAGGAGGAGCAAAGAGCAGGAGGTGACTAGCCCTGGAGGTGATGGATAGCCTTGGTCTCCTGTAGTTTCTTTATTATGTCAAAAGGACATGTGCACCCCTATGTTATTGCAGCACTATTTACGATAGCCAAGAAATGGAAGCAACCTAAGTGTCCATCAGTAGATGAATGGATAAAGAAGATGTGGTACATATCCACAATGGAATATTATTCAGCCATAAGAAGAAAACAAATCCTACCATTTGCAACAACATGGATGGAACTAGAGGGTATTATGCTCAGTGAAATAAGCCAGGTGGAGAAAGACAAGTATCAAATGATTTCACTCATCTGTGGAGTATAAGAACAGAGAAAAAACTGAGGGAACAAAACAGCAGCAGACTCACAGAACCCAAGAATGGACTAACAGTTACCAAAGAGAAAGGGACTGGGGAGAATGGGTGGGAAGGGAGGGATAAGGGGGAAAAAGGGACATTACGATTAGCACACATAATGTAGGGCCGGGGCATGGGGAAGGCAGTATAACACAGAGAAGACAAGTAGTGACTCTATAGCATCTTACTACGCTAATGGACAGTGACTGTAATGGGGTATGTGGGGGGACTTGATAATGGGGGGAGTCTAGTAACCATAGTGTTGCTCATGTAACTATATTAATAATACAAAAAAAGTGCTCATCGTTGTCTTGCAGCTGGTGCACGTTCTCAGTTCCTTTACAAACCACTTTCTGAGCAAGCAGCCTGTGTTCACCATGACTGGCTATTGGCAACAGGACAGGGCAAGACCATTGATCCCCTTTACTAGTCAAGGAAGCCGTGTCCACTGTTTAGGGCATGCTATGCCTAAAGGCACACAGCCCTTTGCAGGAGATGGGACTGCCTTTTGGTTTTGTCCAACTCAGAGCCTCATCTCTTTCCGGTACGCCAAGATGTCTTATTCCAGTGCCCTGAAAACAGTTTGTCTCACAATCTTTTACAGTAAATGTCCCAGGCAGCTGATGAAGGAAATTCAGCCCTCATGGTCTTTCCCTGCCCACTGACCACCTGTGGTTGACAGAAGAGCAAGAAACCATTCTCTCTTGGAACCATTGGTTTTCCAGTTAGGTTTCCCATGGATGACAGATGAGGTGGCCGACCGGCTGCCTGCACGTGGTCCCGATGCAGGGCAGGGCTAAGGTTGGGCCTTTTCTTCCCCCAGGAGCAGCTGGGAACCCCAGCGGCCAGTTCTCGGAGTAGGGAACTCTGGGCCCCTCGCTGTGACCCACTCCCACTTCCACTGCCTATGAAAACATATCTGTTTTGTTTTCCAAAGGGATGGTGCAGCATCTCTGAGCTACCACATCCTGGATGGGCCTGAGAAGGTTCCCGTTGTGCATGTTGACGGGAAGGGCTTCCTGGTGTCAGGGTCTCGGATTGGGATGTCTGCTATCGAAGTGACTGCCCAGGAGCCTTTTGGGGCCAACCAAACCATGATCATTGCTGTAAAGGTAGGATCATGTTCTCTCCCTTTTTGAAATAATAAAAGCAGTAGTACCAAGGTGAAAATTTACCCTTTTCAGGTATAAAAAAGAATATATTTCACCTTCCAGCTGAGAAATTGTATGTAAGAATTTATTTAAGAATAACTTGGGGTACAAGGTCCTAGATAAAAAGCTACAGAATCTTCTGGTTGTCAGATCTAAAGATGTTTGGTGATTGTTAGTTGCAATGATCTCATTTCATAGATGGGGAAACTGAGGCCCAGCAGGGTCTATAATTTGCTGGGACTGGCACCTCCATGTCCTGACTGAGCAGCTGGTGCCTGGAACATGGTAGATGTCTAAGAGCATTGAATGCACATGCTAGACACTTGACACGGAAATCATTACATATGTAGCAACTTGGAGAGCAGGTGACCCATTTTATAGGCCAGGAAACTGACGCTCAGAGTGGAAGTGACTTGCTGAAGGTGACACAGTGACTGAGAGAGTCTGGGTTCTAACTCATGTGGCCTGGCTTGGGTTTGTGTCTTCCAGTCACGTCACAGTGCTTCCTGTGTCCCTCTGCCATTCTGTGACGGGGACTTTCTCTTTGGGCATCCTTGGGTCGGGTTCTGGGATTTATCATGAACAAAATTTTCTTTCCATAGCTCATTGTACCCCCTTTCTGCATGCTGGATGGCAGAGAGAAACTAGCTAGATGATACTTTAGTTTTTTAGTTTTGCCTGACTCGCAGGCCTACTTCCTTAATTAATTTTGTTTCAAGGTGGATGCCTAGAAAGGAACCCTACACCCTAGTTTTTGAGTAAGTGTAAAAGCGACTGACTGCTCATTCCTGTTTCAACAAATATATATGCAGCACCAGCTGTGTACTAGTCACTGTACCACTTGATCTTTGTCAAAGATCTTTCTGGGGGCTAGCTTTTTGGCCAGGATAGATTTTACCTGTAGCCATGGAACCAATGCTCTCTATGGAGCTCAGGTTCTTGGGTTCCAGAAACCTATTATTCCCTCCTTTTCCCATCTCTCCTCTCCCTGGAGCACCTGCAGGCATGCAGTGGCCCCCAGGTAATGCTTCCTGTTGAATCCAAACAGGCATTGTTTCTGCATTAAATGTTCAGAGAGCCAAGTCCTTTAGGGAAACTGAACATTGAAAGCCCAAGAGATATTTTGGAAATGTGAACAATGATCCATTTTTGCAAAGTCATGGATTTTGACTCTTGTAGGTTGGGTTTTCTTTGAGTGAGGCCAGCCTGCTCTGTGGGAAAGTTGGAGCCTTGTCATCAGTTTGGGATGCTCAGGAGAACAAGGTCTCTCTCTTTCCATGACCCCCAAGCTGGTGCCGTCTCCACTCCTTCCTGGGTCAGGCCTGGCTGGGGGCAGGCATCCCCCCTTGGGAGGTGGGTGTTTAGGGAGCCCGGTTCCAGCCCAGTCATCACCATACCTGCTCATTGTCCTGCAGGTGTCTCCTGTCTCTTACCTGAGGCTCTCCATGAGCCCCGCCCTGCACACCCAGGACAAGGAGGCTCTGGCGGCCCTGCCCTTGGGAATGACCGTGACCTTCACTGTCCACTTCCACGACAACTCTGGAGATGTCTTCCACGCTCACAACTCGATCCTCAACTTTGCAGCTAACAGGTAGGGTGTGGGTGATGTTCATTTCTCAGGTGAAGGCATGTCTCCATCCTCCGTCGTACCTGGATTTAATTTATAGAGTGACAGAGTGACAACACGGAGAATCTAATGCCATTAAAAGAAGAGTTTTGTTAGATACAGTGCCCAGGTGGAGAGGGTGTGCCACACTTGTAGGCTGCAGGAGGGAGCACCAGGCTTGGTCAGCAGGCAAGGGTGATGAGATAGCATGGCCAGGAGGAAGTCACAGTTGGGGACGTCCTCTAATGAACAGGAGGTAAAACACAGGAGTTGGGGTTTATGGTTAGAGAGTTTGCAGCAACATCTGTGTGCACCTGTGAAAGCTGGACTGCAGGGGTGGATGTATCCAGCTCTGGCCATTGGTCTGATCCTTTGATCAGTGGATGCAAATTATCCATTACAGATTTTGTAAAAGTTGGTCACAGTAAAGTACATACCTTCTAGTGCTCAGGTACTAGTGAAGAAGAAGTCTGATTTTCACTGTGCATCTGCTATGTTCAGACCCTTCTGCATGACATCTTTCTGACTCCTCCCTATAGCCCAGAGAGGTCAAGCCATTTGCCAGGGTCGCTCAGCCAGGAAGTAGGGTTTGACTACCAGGTCCGATCTGACTCCAAGTGCAACTTTTTTTTGCTGACTCTACTAAGTACAACTGTAGCCTGAGGCCCAGTGTGAGGACAGAGTGGTCTCCAGAGCAAGGAAATGAGCTATGGCCTCTGTCTGACCCTGCTGAAATCTGAGCCCACTGAAGCAGTGGTTTTCAAAGTGTGGTCCCCAAACCAGTGACGTCAGTATCACCTGGGAACTCTTAGAAATGCACATTCACAGAGCTTGACTGTCTGTGTTTAGCATGGTCCCCATGGGATTCTAAAGGTTGAGAACCACTGCTCCAGGGGTCTGCAGACGCAGTCAAGAGGAAAATAAGCATCAGGCATGGGAAGGAGCAGGGTGTGGGGAGCGGTTCCAGGGAGGACTCCCGGGGGCAGGAGACTATGTCCTTATGTGGGTGAACATTGCAGCTTGGCCTTTCCTCAGGCCCTGCAACAGATGTGTCCCCATTTACTGAATGTGTCTCAGGACAAGCATGGGGACATAGCCTGGTGGAGGAATCGGGTTTGGAATTAGACCCGGTTCAGGCCCCAGCTCAGCCCTTTGTGGGGCCCTCACAGGCAAGGCTGGTCTTCTCTCCATGCCCCTGCTTCCACACCTGACATGCCTGGAATGTGCCTAGTCCACAGAGCCATCAGCTGAGGCAGTGGTCATGGGGACCTCTGGCAAACTGTGGAGCTCTGTACACATGGTGCAGACTGTCCATTACCTGGGGGTCACAGGCCGCCCTGGAGGAAATGGAGCCAGGTCTTCCCAGCCCCACAGTTACCCCACGGAAGTCAGGTTGGCCTGTTTGTGGTAGGAGCACCGGGCTCAGAAGTCAGAAGGTGTGGTGCAGGAAGATGATGGAGCCAGAGACCTCACCCACCCCCACCAAGCCTTTCTGCCAGAATACCATTGGCTGGTGTTGATTGAGCATTTGTGGCATGACAGGTGCCAGTCCCTGTGCATCACCATTACTGACCTGGTTTAATGCTCATGTCAAACCTGTGCCTCTGGTACATTATTACCCCATTTTACAAATGAGGATGTGGGTGGAAGCTGTGTCACTTGTTCAGTTTATACCACAAAGGGCGGCCTGTGCCTCCCCAGAGTGTCCTGCTGAGGAGTGACTGGACAGCAGTGTGCAGATCACTCTGCTCTCAGGACCTCGGCTTTCCCTTCCACAGTGTGATGGTGGTGATGTGGCCATTTTGGTGAGGGCTGTGGGGTCCCCCCAGGGGCAATGAGATGAGGTCAGGTCTGTGCGGCCCACAGGGGGCCATGATCTGTAGCAGCTGCTCAGTAAGCGGGAGCTGGATGATGTCTAGGGCCACAGTCAGCAAAGAGCTTCGTCCGGCAGAGGACTTTGACAGTGTCTCCCTCCAGGGCGGGGGGCTGGCCCCTGAGACTGAGAGCCTGCATCTCCCTCTTGTACCTAGAGATGAGTTTGTGCAGATCGGGAAAGGCTCCACCAACGACACCTGCGTTGTCCGCACCATCAGCATGGGCCTGACGCTGCTCAGTGTGTGGGACGCACAGCACACAGGCCTCTCTGACTTCGTGCCGTTGCCTGTCCGACAGGCCATCTCCCCGGAGCTCTCTGGAGTGGTCGTGGGGGACGTCCTCTGTCTGGCCACTGCCCTGGTCAGCCTGGAAGGTAAGAGAGACACTGGTTGAGGAAGCCTCTCTAAGTCGTGGCCATAGCTGGGACTGGGCTGCAGGGAGGCGCTCAGCTCCCCATTGTGGGAGGTGTGCAAGTACAACTAGAGCTGGGGTCAGCTGGGGCCAAATCCAGCCTGCTGCTGCTTTTGAAAATCCTGTTTGATCAGAACTCAGGCACAGCCAACATTTACATGTTGTCACTGGCTGGCTGTCTTCACCCTATGACTGCCAGGTTGAGTGGTGGCATCGGATTCCTTCAGGTCTGCACAGCCCAAAATATTGACCTTTACAGGAAACGTTTGCTAACGCTGCTCTAGAGTAGCGCTGTTCCTTAGAACTTTCTGCTTTTGTGAAATGTCCTGTATCTACACCAGCACAGGAACTGAGCACTTGAAATGTAACCAGTGCAGCTGAGCAATGACTGCCTTATTCTAGTTAATTCCCTGGCTAGTGGCATGGTGTTGGACAGCATGCCTCTAGAAGGAAGCTTCAGCAGAGAATAGCTATTGGGTCAGTTCAGTGACCTCCAAATTTCAGCTATTCCCGTGCCTCGTCTACATCCATGTATAATAATTAATTTTTTTCAAATTGGCTCCCTATTTTTTTTTACCTAATTAAATTATTTCTAGAAGGACATTAAATACTGCCTTTAAAGAAAAGCAAATATATTTTGTCATAAATGGAATGTGGCTGTTGGGTTCTTTTATTGTATTTATTATAGAATGTGATTGGCTTTTAAGTAAGAAATGCTGTTGAATGACAGCTCTGTGCCTGACAACTGCTTTGTTTGCTGCAAAGAGGTTGATAAACAGTTGGGGAAGGAGAGTGTGCAGAAAGTGGGGGCCTGGAGGGCCAGCACCCAGGTCATCCCAGGACAGGAGAATGGCTAAGAGATTCCAGCAGGGATGTGATGGGGTGGGAGCGGGTTCATTCCAGGCAGGGCCCCAGCTGTGCTGAGAGGAGATGAAGCAGGAGTACTGCCAGTGGCTGCAGCCAGGAGTGTGAGGGGAATGGGCAAAGCCAGGGTGCAGAGGCCGGCAGTGTACGGCCCATCCAGAGGGTGAAGAGTGAGCTTCCTGGGGCAGCAGGGTGGAGCTTGGGGGCTGGCACAGTCTCACAGGTGACACAGGGTTTGGCTAGCATGTCAGGCACAGGAAAGATGAATGACAGCCAGGGCTTCCTCTCTCAGGCCTCTCTGGAACGTGGAGCTCTTCAGCCAACAGCATCCTCCACGTTGACCCCAAGACAGGCGTGGCGGTGGCCCGGGATGCAGGATCCGTGACAGTTTACTACGAGGTCGCTGGACACCTGAGGACCTACAAGGAGGTGGGACTCCGAGGCACACATAGCTGACCCTCTTGGGTGGGACCTTCAGCTTTTAATACTGAATGGTTCTCTTTTCTTTAAGAAAGAAGTAACGTACCTCACAAAGCAGCTGAGACCTGGGAGCCATGAGTCTGGGGTCTCCCACCCACTGCCTCTGGGATTGGGATAAGCTCCCTTTCTTCCCAGGCCCCCTCCTCCCCATGTGCAAAAGGTGTCACGATGAGAGGTGGTCACTGGGGTTGACCCCAGCTCCCACACACTTCAGTGGAGGGCAGGAATGTCCATTGTGGGTGTTTCCCTGGGAGTTGAGGCCGTGGGTGGGCCAGCGCGGGATTGGCGTCACCAGCAAAGATAAACCTCCCCTGGCAAGTCACCTTTGAGTCTTTCTGGAGGCGAACAAAACCGTTCTCTTTTCTATTTATCTCCAGCCGAGAATGAATCAATGAGCAAAGTCTGGCTGTGTTCCAAATGTGCCTCATTTTTAGAGCTGGGGTGCACTTTATCGAATCCAGCAGTTTAACCTAATAGCTTGCATCTTTAGTGCTGCGACTCCGCAGTTTGGGTGAGCCAGTTGCAGAGAGAGGCACTTGTGACTAATAAAGCTCTCATGTAAGGAGCCTTGGAGAGCAGGCAGGGGTGGGGGCCTGGAGGGGGGACACCAGCAGAGGTGTGTAGGGTTCAGGTGGCTGGAACATAGCAGGCGGGATAAGTGGAGGCTGGTGTGATCAGGTGATGTGTGTTGGATTCCTGGTATTGCCCATGGAGTGGTTAAGCCTTTGGGCTTTGGGACCAGGCTGTCCTTGTTCAGATACCAGTTGGGGCCATTGGGAGACTGTGTAGCCTTGGGTAAATTATTTAACCTCCCTATGCCTTGGTTTTCTCATCTGTAAAATGGGGATAATATGAGAATTAAATCAGTTAATGTGTGGTGCACTTAAAATGGTCCTCAGCACACAGCAAATGCTCAGTAGGTATTAGCTTCTGTTGTTACTCTGCCAGAGTAAAGAGGGGGAAGTTATGCTCTAGGCAGTAGGGATTCATCAGGGATTGTTTTAAAGGAAAGAGTGATATCAGAGGTCAGTTTTGGAATGATCACTGGCACCTGGCAGAGTCTAAGAGCCTGAGAGAGGGTGAGTAGCTGAAGGGAAGCCAGCCAGGACCCAGGATACCCTCAGCAGGCCCTGGTGGGAGGGCAGAAACCCAGGGTGGGGTTTGGGAGAGATTCAGGAGGGAAGGGGGAGAAGGGAGCCCTGGGGTGACTCGGTTCTGGCTTGGGTGATGAGGTGGGTGTGGGTCCTTAGCTCTGAGAGGGGAGCACAGGCTGGTGAGGGGACTGATGCTGAGTGAGTTAGTCATGGCCAGTCTGAGGAGGCTATAGCTCCTCCAGGCAGGGCTGGTGGTGCTTGTCTGGATTTCCAGGACAGAAAGCTGGGGAGAGATGGGGTTTACAGCCCGGAGATGGTTCTTGGAGACCTGGAGCAGTCCGGAACATGCAGGGCACACCAGGGCAAGAGAGAGGTGGGGTCAAGACCTTGGGCCCATTCCCCAAGGTGTGGAGGAGGAGGGGGAGGTGGGCAGAGGACGGCAGCATGATGTCAGGAGGAGAAGAGAAGGGGACACAGTGGGAAGCATGGGGTGGGAGGGGAGCGCCAGTGCCCACTGGTGAGTCTGGTTACTGATGGGGCCCACCTCCAGGCTGCCTATGGTTGTACATCGCCATAGCCCTTGGAGCTGCAGGGGCTTTGGGGAAGAGTGAGACCCCATATCTGCTCTCAAGATCTTGTTCTGGTAGGAAGCAGACCCGTGGGAGGCAGGAAGTGCTCGGTGTCTGCCCGGAGTAGGTGGAAGGCCTTCCACTTGGAGGCGGCGGCAGTGTTGCTGGGCTGCAGGACTGATGGGGTTGAATGGTGCTGGGGAGGCTGCAAAGGATATCCCAGCTTAGAGAGCTCATCCTGCCTCAGAAAGGCGTGCCGCTGGAGTGTTTGGGTGCAGCTGATCACAGGACGGGCAAGGGGGATGAGCAGGGAGAAATCTGGGAAGATTGGTGTCTGGGGGCCTTCTCTACCCAGGCTGTGTAAGTTTGCATTTGGGTCAGGTAATTTGTTTTGAGTAAATGATGGTACAGTAAAATGGATCCTTCTCTCTTTGCTGAAAGATTCATTAACCAAATTGATGAACAGAGAAGTTATCATAACTGTTAGAGGAGCCAAAATCCACAGCCTCCCCAGACCAATGAGTGACTCAAGCCTGCTGTTCAGCTCCCTGCTCTGCTGTCGGGAGAAGCGGCTTGTTCAGTGGGAGAACACTAGGTTGCCAGCCTGACCAACTGGTCTAACCCAGCTCTACCACCCTCGAGTGGGTCATGTAGACGTGGACCTCAGTTTATCACCTGTGAAGTGGGCAATTCCTGCATCACAGGTCGCAGATCATGAAAATGGCCGGCACTGGGCCTGCGCATTGTTGGCACTCAGTGACGTTGCCTCGGTCGGCTCCCTCCCCAGATGGTGATTGGAACCCCTCAGAGGATCATGGCCCGGTACGCCCACCCTGTACCGACCACCTTCCGGGAGGCCACGGCCTCCAGAGTGATTGTCACCGTGGGAGACAGAAGCTCTAACCTGAGAGGTAGAGAGTGAGGGGCTCGGGCGGGCCGGGAGAAGCCCTGCCAAGCTTGGGGGCAGGGAGGGCCTCCTCGTGCTCTTCTGTGTTGTCTGCTTTTCTTACGCGTGCCAACTCCAGAGAGAGCACTTGACCCCAGCTGGCCTGCTCCTTCCCGCTTTTTAGAAAGTCGGGGCTTCTGCAAGCAGTGGGAATCTTCCTGAAAGAGCCTGCCACTCAGAAATGGCATTTCTGAGCTGGAAATGTGGCTTCAGCCCTAGGGCACCAAGTACAGACGGCCACGATTTACCACCATTAATCCCAGAAAGTAATGACTTAGGAGGCCTCACCACTGATGTTGATTTTTGTAATTACCTTTCCTAAGTCATGCAGAGAACATTCGACCCATTCCCCTGCCATGTCAGCCCTGGACAGTAGCTTCAGAAATAAATACATCAATACTGGCTATTTTTTTTAAAAACCCTTAACTGCTAGAATTAAGTATCGCTGCTCTCGTTCTGATCAATGAGGCAGCCTTACTGCATTATGGTGGCCTCTCTTCCTACTTCTGTGCAGCGGGTAACACTGTATAGTTGCTGAAATGATGCTCAGTGGAAAACTGTGCCCTCCTGGTGTCCAGAAAGACATTGCCCGTTTCCGCCCTGCTGACAGGAGCAGATGACAGTGCATTAGTGGGCCTGACCCATCTGCCATGCTGCTGCATGTGGCTCTAGAACAAAGGCTGAAATTCTGATCTGAGATTGCCCGTGACTCAGAGTAACCCCTCCTCTGGAAACTGCCCTCAGCTTTATGAACTGCAGCACCATCACAAAGCTCTGGGTGGCCCCGGGGGCCCCATGCAGAAGGAATGCAGGACACAGGTGTCATTTTGCAGCCCGGCCAGCCTCTGTGTGGCCTTCTCTTACTTTCCTGCTTTGGGGCTCTGCAGGCAGGCGCCAGAGACCCCGGTGGGCTTAGGTGTGGCAGCCAGCAGGCCCATGCCCACTCACCTCCTCTCTAGGTGAGTGCTCCCCCGCCCAGAAGGAAATCATTGAGACCCTGCGCCCAGAATCCCTCATCAGCTGCCAGCTCCAGTTCAAGCAGGATGTCTTTGATTTCCCTGCCAGTGATGTTTTCACCGCAGAGCCAGGGTTTGACGCTGCTCTGGGTAAGTGTGCAGGGGTTTGAAAGTGAATGTGTGCTTGCATGGAGGGTTTGTCTTCAGTGCATGCATCCTGTATCCGTCCAGAGGGGCCGTGTGTCAGGAGCCTCGCCTGGGGATTGGTCATGTGACCCCTGGGGCTGTGCAGCTGCCGGGACGGTTGGTGTTCCTGCACTGGATCGTGGTCGCTCCTGCACTGGATCATGGTTGCTCTCAGTAACCCCCTCCACCCAGCAGAAGGGACACATTCAGAGCCAGAAATCCTGGGTTCAGGGCCTCTTTTGCTCTCCCTACCTTAGAGCCTGTAGGTAGTGAGGCTACTTCCCCCCTGCAGTGGGAAGGATGGTGCCTTGCTCTGCCTGCATGACGGAGCTTGGAGAGGGGCAAGCAAGGAATAGTGGAAGGGTCCTTATAAATAGTCAAGGGCCACGCAGTGTGTTGGACCACAGCTGCTCCACGGCCTGGTTAGAGCTGTGGAGCTCCAGGCCAAGCCCACAGGCTGGATGGAGCATGTCCTGGCTGAGTTGACACTGAACCATCACCAGTTCAGCCAAAGAAGAGGGGTGCCCCCTTGGGACATTGTGAGGGTTCATGGGAGGTTCCTGCAACATGCTGAGTGCAGTGCAGAGCACAGACTCATCCTGAGTCCAGTTAGAGTGTTATGAGCATTTGGCCTGTTTTTAAGTTCTTCCTTAACTGGGAGAAGTTGGTGACATAACAGTGCCAGGCCACAAGCCCCATCTGCAGCTCTCGGTGGCCCAGGGGTGGAGGCCTCCTCTCCCCTCATTCACTCTGCCCCTTGCACAGCAGCCCCAAAGCATCATGAGCACCCAGGCTGCTGCTGAAACACAGCTGCCTCCTGAGGGCACACTGTGTGCAGGGCCAAGCTTAGGGCTGGGCATGGAGCAGGCACATGGAGGTCTCCCGCCCTGTTTATGCACTAATGTGGCCCCATAAAGGGTGTGTTGTTATCCCACCTGAACAAGGAAAACAGGGCCAGCCAGGGAGATAAGTCATCCAGGGGCATTTGGCCCCTTCCATGCTGGCATGGGATGGACACAGAGGGCACCCTGGCCCCAGCATCTGGGTCCAGGCTTAGACAGTGTCCCTAGGCACTGCTCAGCAGTGTTCACTTAGCTCGTTTATCTAGTCTGGGTCAGGATATGACAGGCACCAGGACAGCCCCAGCTCCTGCCTTCGTGGGGCTTTCTGCTGTACCTGGCGCTGAAGGCTGGCCTGGGAGTCAGCCCCAGCTGGACCTGTGGCCCAGCATTGGGTCACGGTATCTGTTCACCATTTATTCACCCTCATCTTGAGCCTGGCTCTCTAGGCTCTGAGATGCAGAGCTGGACGGGATGTTCCTGCCTCAGGGAACACCACCGCAATGGGAGTCTGGCATTCTGAGCCATGAGCGTGAGTGCTAGCCACAGGGGCCCTGAGGAGGGACTTCTCAGGAGGCCATAGGAGGGGGTGATGCCTCACCTGGGCTCCGAAGGATGTCTAGTCCAGTTGGAAAGGCAGGGAGAAAGTAGCATCTGGGAGACATGGGAGAGAAGATGAGGTGGAACACTTACCTCCACAGGCCAGTACCTCTGCTGGGTCACAATGCACAGGCTGACGGACAGGCAGCTAAAACACCTCAGCATGAAGAAGACACCTCTGCTGGTCACTGCCTCCAGCCAGGGCAGCCCCTTCTCCGGAGAGCAGGTCAGGGCCGAGGTGCCCTTCAGCCCAGGGCTTTATGCCGATCAGGCTGAAATCCTTCTGAGCAACCACTACACCAGCTCCGAGGTCAAGGTCTTTGGTGCCATGGAGATTCTAGAGAACCTGGAGGTGAGTGGCGTCTGTGCACAAGCCAGGGGCATCAGAAGGTACCAGGAGGCAGGGAGGATGAGTAGAATGTGGAAATCCTGGACCCTGTCTCTTTATAATTAAAAATAAAAAAATATTAAATACCCTTACCCTTTTCTTTCTTTTGTAGTACCACTGCTACCCATTAGCCTATATAATTGTATTTATTATGATGATTGCTGCTGGCCTTCCCCAACTAGGGGTTAAATATGCCAGGTTAGCATTTAGGACAGGGCTGACACTAGAAAGTGAACATTTAACATGGTGAATGAATGGATTCAGTACAGGACACATGGCAGCATGGGACAGGAAGGAAAGCTCTAATCCCTAAGGTACCAGTGACTCCCGCACAAGTGGGAACAAGTCCCCTATCTCTGGGCCTCAGTTTCCCCATCTACTGGATGGTGGGTGAATGATGTTGTAGGTCCTGGAGTCGGCAAGCTGGGAGAGATCTGGGGCAAAGGAGCTCATTGGCTTCTCTGCCTGCTCCTTTTTTTGTCTTATGCAGCAAATGTGGCAGGACCTTCCTGGAGTGGAACGGGGTGAATTCCTTGTTGAGGATGGAAGGTCTGCAGGCCCCGGGCTTGGGCCATTGGCAATCAGCCATTCACAGAGCTCTAGGCTTGGAAAGCCTCCCTTGGAAAGTCAGTGTTTGGTGATAGTTCATGTCAGTGTGGCATTTTTTTAAAGAGTACTTGATTAGAATTCAGTGAGACTGATTTGTTCTTTCCTTACAACACCCTGAGTGTAGACTGTGTGCTGGTTCCCCGACTTTGCGGATTGCATGCTGTCAGATGTCAGCAGGCCTGCCTAGGAAGCGGGGAAGGTTGGGGTACCCTAGCCTTCTGGCCCAGGGGGGAAGCACTCTGTGACAGGCGGAGTGGGGATGCTCCTCTCCAGCCCTGACATCTCTCCCAGGTGAAATCGGGGTCCCCAGCCGTACTGGCCTTCGCAAAGGAGAAGTCGTTGGGGCTTCCCAGCTTCGTGACCTACACAGTCGGTGTCTCGGACCCCACGGCCGGCAGCCAGGGACCTCTTTCCACTGCCCTGACCTTCTCCAGCCCCGTGACTAACCAAGCCATCACCATCCCTGTCACTGTGGCCTTTGTGATGGATCGCCGAGGGCCTGGACCTCGTGAGTCATGGGATGGGACACCAGCTGGGATGGACCAGAGTGGGGAGGGACTGGCTGGGAGGGACCCTCTGCATGATCCTGGCTGTCAGTGGCCCCGGGAGTCTGGGAACTGGAGGAGTCGGAAGTGCAGAGTGCTCCACACAGTGACAGTCCTCGTTCAGGCAGCCATGCACACTTTGCTCCCCTCTGTTCTCAGCATGGCAGCCAGAGGGGTCCTGTCCAGATGCAGTGAGGTCGTACCCCTCCTCTGCTCCACACTCTGCCATGGGTGTCACCTCCTTCGGGCAGTAGAGCCCGTCCTTCCAGTGTCCCGAAAGGCCCTTCCTGCTCTCCTTCCCATTTACGACTCGTCTCATCCTGGAGCATTCTGCTGCAGCCATAATGACTCCTTCCTGTTTTTGGAACATGTGCAGCCCTCAACTCAGCCCATAGTGTTTGCTGTGCCCTCCCCTGGGAGGCTGTTCCCGATGGGCCCTGGCCAACGCCCCCACCTCCACCAGACCTTCCCTCAGGCATCACTTTCTCATGTAGTAGGATTAGAACCTCCCTGCCAAATCTCTTGCCTGTTTATTTCTCCCATAGCACTGTTACCAACTATCAGCCTATTTAATAATTATATAGTTTCTGTGGTTTCTGCTGGGAGAAATCACATTACCCAACTAGAGGTTAGGTACTGTATGTGAGGACAGCTCTTCGAACAAGGCCTACCTAACATAAAGTGTGTGCTCAGTAATGAATGAATTCATGACCTAACACTGCCACTTGCCAGACCCTGTGCTGGGCAGGTACCCGAGAAGTGCCCCCTCAGGCAGAGAGGGCCCAGAGTTCCAAACTCAGTGAGAGGGAATGATTCTAAAGATGTGGCTGAGGAGGTGGGGGGTGCACAGAGTGGGTAATTTTACCTCTTTTGGGCTGAGGGTACAGTTCAAAGGGGGCTTCAGCTAGGTCTGGAGGGCTGAGTAGCAGGGGAGGGCAATGTGCAGGGTGAGGGCCACCAGACCAGGGCCTCAAGCTTTTTCCTGGGAGCAGGGAGGGAACCTGGTCAGGTCTAGCTGGGAGCGGACTAAAGGAACAGGCAACTTCAGGAGCGCTTGAGGGGGCCACCGCCTTCTTCCTGCTGAGCAGGGGTGTGTCCTGACTCAGGACAGCCCAGCAGGGTGGTAGGAGGGGCCCTCCATAAGGTGGGAGGCTGGGGATGGGAAGGGGGGTGGAAGAGGAAGGCAGGCTGGGCCATTGCCAGGTGGGGCCGGGAGTTGGGGCGGGTTTGAGGCAGAGGACACTGGGCCCCCTTGGTGCATGCAGCCTCAGCTCTGAGAGCAGTGGCCTCCCGTCCGGTGCCTGATCTCACCCTCTGACCACACACAGTGGCACAGGGGGACTCTGTGTGGTGGCTTTGCCAGCTTGTCTCCCCATTGATTGCAGATGGAGCCAGCGTCTTCCAGCACTTCCTGGATTCCTACCAAGTCATGTTCTTCACCCTTTTTGCCCTGCTGGCTGGGACTGCTGTCATGATCATAGGTGAGGTGGGCTGTACTGGATCCCCTGGTTCACCCACCCCCCCTGCCACCCACCCCCACTCTAACCAGCCTGTGGTCTTGCAGCCTACCACACGGTTTGCGTGCCCCGGGACCTCACCACGCCTCCAGCCCTCTCCCCTCGAGCCAGTCCTCTGCACAGCCCCCACTGTGAGTAGCTGCCCTGTAAACTTGGCCAGGCAGAGCTGGAGCTAAGAAGAAGGGTCCTGGGGGAGGAGGCAGGGGCCCAGGCCCTAAACCCCAAGTCTCAGAAGGCCTGGCCCTGGGCAAAAGTTGTAGCTGGGGTTTGAGGCCCAGAGGGCGGATCTGGGAGCTGGGGATGGGGAGCAGCAGGACTCAGAAGGTCAGATGTCTGGGGAGGGAGAGCTTTCCCCAAGCGGAACTGTGCGCAGTGGAGGGCTGATGGCAGGGAGCTCTGTGTCATAGGCATACACCCTGGGGGGTGGTTCTCACCTGCTGGAACTACTGCAGAGGGCTCTGGTTGACCAGCTGACTCAGAGATGAGGATCCTGGGCTGTTCTGAGGAGGGATTTCCCAGGTGGAGAAAAACCGTAAGGCCTGTTCCTCTTAATAATCCAGTTATCTGTGGTGGTCCTGAGGCCTTCATGGTCCTATATGACTCCAGGGACACCCATGAGTGGTATTGCCTGAAACTTTGCAGTACCCAACCTGCACAGCTGTACATGGCACCCCTTATGTCTCCTGATGACCATTCAAGGATCCTCTCCTGTAACAAGGTTCCTGGAGTTGGTGTTCACTGACCCTATGGGGAATTGCCAGGCTTTAAGGGGTCTGATTTTTTTGAAAGAAGACACAGTTTTGTATATAGATGTATTGTCCTGGGTAACAAGACCCCACATGCATCCTGGACCCCCAGAATCATAGCATTCTATTAGGATACCTCTTAGGCCTGTGAAGCAACCCGAGGGAAAGCTGTGGAATACTCAGCGGCTCACTTCTTTGCAATTCTGATGTGACATCCAGCTGTCCTTGCAGTGGGGACTTACCCTTTCTAACTGCAGGTCCTGTCACACCTCCCTGTGTTTGTGGGGGCCACGCCCGGGTCTCCACACTGTCTCCTGAGCTCTCCAGACCCTTGTGCTCACATTTGTTCACGCAGTTTTCTCTGCCCGAGAGGCTGTTTCCTGCCCAGGTGGAGGGGCTCCCTCCCTGCTTGCCCCACAGACCGGTTGCTTCCATGAGATCCTGAGACCCACTGCTTGTTCTCCCCGGCAGGCTGTGTGCTGCTCCAGGTCAGGGGTGAGGCTCCAGGCCTCTTTGTGTCCAGCTATCCTCCTTTCCTTTCAGGGCCGGCTCGGCAAGCCCCCCGTGGGTTCCCCTCTGCTGGCCCAGGGATGCAGTACCAGGAGACATGCTGGGTGTGCAGCAGGCGCATCACGAACGTCTGGACGTGGGCACCGAGGAAGCGCTGAGCAGTGTTGAGCTCTCTCTTCTGCTCTGTTGCTCACTCCATCTTTTTCCACCCTAGATTTTGCTGCCTCCTCACCAATGCCTTTCAGTGCGCTGCCTCCTGCTCGCCGAGCCAGTCCTCCCGCGGGGCTGTGGAGCCCACCGTACAGCTCCCGCTAGTCAGCATGGGCTGGGGGCTGCCCCACACGGAGGCCCTGACACCTGTGGGCAGCACGGTCGGGACAGCCCGACCCAGAGCAGGCCCCCAGCCCCACACCTCTGGCCTCCTCACTGCCTCCTCTGTTCCGCAGACCTAGAGTTCAGGCTGTGCTCACTAGCTTAGCCTTACATGTAGGAGTTTAAGGCTTTTTGGCTCATTCTTCATGCCTGGTTGGCTGGGGTTCCTGGACAATGGTGACGCTTTATTTTCTAGTCTCTAAGGTCACTCCCTCCTCAAGACCTTGAGCAGGCAAAGCTCTGTTTAGAAGTTGTCTGTCAGTGATATAGTGCAGGGTCTCAGGGAAAGACTGTAATTTTTTATTTTTGTGGGCTTTGTCCCCTGTGAAGACTTGATTTTTCCCCTTGTCTGGCTCCTGCTAGGAAATGAGGGGAGTGAACAGGCGTCGGGTGCCTGCCCTGTTGCTGCACAGGGAACCTCAGGAATGCAGTGACAGGGACCCCGTGCTGGCACAGCCGCACAGGGAGATGCCGAGATGCTCATGAGCAGACCTAGGCTGCTTTGCGCCCCTCTTGGGGCCACTGTTGAACAGACTGCTGACCTCCGTGCCTATTTGTTCCCTAAGCTGAGCAAACATCTGAACTTGGCCTGGGCCCCACTGGGACATCCCGTGGGGTCCAGCTCGTTCTCCCTGTCCTGGCTTCTCTTTCAGCATGGGGACATGAGAATTGTAGTTAGGAAAATGTCCTTGAGCCAGAGACTGGGATCTTCCTTTCTGTCCCTTTGGAGAACCTGCTGTGTTCTGCTGAAGCACAAAGATCCAGTGTTACTTGTTCCTCCTTTTGTATGAAAGCCGCACACCTCAGCACACCTGAGCCCTTGCCCGCCCTGTGCAGAGTTGGCCTCCCCAGCGGGCAGCTCCCAGCAGAGGCAGGCAGAGCCCAGCCCGGCCAGTGAGGAGGGCAGGCCAAGGCCTCCAGGGCCTGCCCTCCAGGAAGGGGCTGCAAAGGAGAGGACGGCTCCAGTGACACCCTCCTTGCCAGCAGCTGGGTCAGTCAGCATCTGAGACCTCCAGAGCGCACCCCTTTGCCCCTGGCCAGCCAAGGAGCCGTGCCACTCTCAGGAAGACTTGGAGACACACCCAGAGCCAGTTGCACATGGACGTGGTGTGCAGGAGTCCAGTTTGACTGAGCTGCGAGTGCGCATCCACTTCAGTCCTTAGGGGCTGGGCCATGAGATTATTTTTTTAAAGCTGGAGACAGGAAGAATCGTGCCTTGCGTATTACTTGAGCTCACACTGACAACTTGGATGTAAATAGGCGCGTTTCTACTTGGTTTATTTAATAAAGCTCTATATAATTTCTTAAGAGGAGCGTGGTCATTGCCCGAGTTGTGTGCATCCTGTCTGGAAGTGACCTAAGCCCTGTTGACTTTGCTTCTGTTTGTGGATTTGGGGAGCAGGTCTTTCTGCCCATGCCCCCCGGCCCCCTGAGGCTTCTGTGTCACACTTCCTTCTCTGGCTGGCCACCAGGTCTGTGTCCCCCTCTTACAGACCAGCAGGTGGCCAGGACCCCCACAGGGACCTTGCCTGAAGGACAGGCAGCACCACCCACACATCCACATGTCACTGGGTGCCACCTCAGCCCTTTCACTCGGCCACCTCCCTCTGCTAACTGTTCCTTCCTGCCACTCTGGCTTGCACCCCCACTGTCCTCTGAGGCTTGTGTCCCCAGGATCCCCAGGACCTCTACTTGGCCATCCCTCTCACTGACCCTGCAGCCTGGACACGCTGCCCTCCTAGTTAGCTCTCCCTGTCTTGCTGGGAAAACCCCTTGTCTGCTGCCTCCACCTGTCATCTCCCCAGCCCCTCACTCTCACCTGATCGGATGCTCACACCCCTCAGAGTGGCCATCTACTGCCCTCCCAGCCCACCTCCCAGCCTGACCTTCCACACTCACACAGGCGGCGTCCTGAGTGTCCATGAGGCAGGTGCCCCTGGTGTCTTGCATCAGAAGTGTGCAAATGGATGCTCACAGAAATCAGGTAGCTGCCCAAGGTCACGGGCTACCCAAAGGCACCTCTGCTGGAGACTGCTTGAACCCAACATCACCCCACCTTTCTTAGGAGCCGAATCCCGGACCTGAGCAGAGCAGCCAGAGTACACACTACATTTCCCAGCCCCTTTTGCTGCTAGAAGCCAACATATGACTATTGTTTGGGCATAGAACGTTAGTGACAGTGTCCTGTGTAACTCATGGTCTTCTAAAGGAAGGTAGAGGCCTCCTCATCTCGTCTGGGCAGACCAGGCTGGGGCTCCACCTGGCAAGGGCAGTAGCACCACCAGAGTTGCTGGTCCATCATCCGTGGGGCCTGCACCCCAACCCAGGACAGCTCCCTTGGCAGAAGAGAAGCACACACCCACTGGCTTCAATATCAAGTGGCTCTTCCTCCACAGCCAAACCTAATGCCAGCTGATGGAATGGCAGTGCCCAGATGCAGACCAGGACAGCCAGCCATCCCTGCCACAGCCCCCTCCTGCAGGCCACACCTGCACATCAGCTTGGGGGATATGCTCGCTCCTGCACGCTGAGACGCCCCTCGGTCCTCCTTCCTTGCCCTGCTCCCAACATCTGGCCTGCCCCAAATTCCCATCATCTGCCTTATGGTCTCATCTGTCTGGCCTCCACATTGCCCTCTGATCAGCTCAAGGAGCCTCCTCTGGGCTGGGGTCCCAGCCTCCACACTGGCCTCCCTGTTCCAGCCTCTCCTCAGCTGCCCCCACCACGCTGTTTTGCTGACCCCCAGGCAGCCCAGGCTTAAACTAAACCCTGCCCTGCAGGCCTTTGGGGTGAGTGTGACCCTTCAGGCCTAACTGGTCCGGCCACTTTGTCCACACCCCGTGACCTACAAGTTTCTCAAGCAGGCTTTGCACCTGCACCCCTGCTCTCTGCCCTCTGGTGGGAACTGCCTTGCAGCCCCACCCCTGGTCTGCCTGGCTTTGAGGTCAGACAGAGCTGCGGTCGGGTCCCGGATCCGCCCCTCCCTACCCCTGGGTTCCTACTCTGGACTTTTCCCTGCCCTGGGCCTTGCTTCTCTCTGTGAAATGGGCACATCAGTGCCTCCTAAATTACTATAAAAATCAGCAAAACACCACCTGAGAGGCCTTTCGCTCAGGCAGTAGGTTGATGAGTAGGGGATGTCCTCTCCCAGCGGCCGTTGTTGATCCTGCCTCTCAGAGGTGAGGCAGGGGTGAGGAGGAGGCCTCAGCTCTGTGGGGCAGAAGGGCGGATCTGGCACTGGCCCTGGGGAATGGGAAGGGATGGGCGCAGAAGTGCCCAGGGGACAAGTGACAACTTGAGGGTGCGTAAGCCCTGTTGTGGTCTTCCCACGCGGAGAAGCTACATGCAGAAGCTAAAAACCCCTGTAGGCTCCATCACTGCCCTGGGCCTGGTCCCTGACTGGAGGATGGGAAGTTTGCTTTCCCCATGAGGATCCTATGAGGACAGAATAAGCTAATAGATGAAGGTGCTGTGTCCACATATGCTGCTGTCACTATTGACAGGGAAAGCTGGCACAAGGCCCATGAGGAGCACAGATGGAGACAGTGTGCAGAGTGATGGGATGGAGACACAGCAGGTGAGTGGGAGCCCTCCCGTTGTCATTCCCCGTACTGTGTTGTGATCATCTGACCCACTACCTCTCTCCAGCTGGGACCTCCTTGAATGTGGGAACAGGCCTGATTCTGTGTCCCAGGACCTGGCAAACAGGAAGACCTAGAAAGCATGAACTGATGCCATATGTTCAGCAGGGGCCCACCTGGTGCACATTTAGTGCTCAGTAGATGCCAGCATTACCCTCAGTCAGGCCCCTCAGTAACAAGACGACTGCCAGGATCCAGGCAGTGCCCAGAGGGAGAGGAGCAGAGACAAGCTCTGCCTATCCGCTAAGGACTGAAGACTCCTTACTGAAAGGCTTCTCAGCAGACAGCTCCCAGTGTGCCCATAGCCGGGGTTGGCATTCCTGGCCCTTCCTAGCCCATGGCTGGTACGGGCAATGGGGTGATCATGTCCATGTCGGTAATCCTGGGCTGACCACATGGCAGCACGTAGACCCCTTCAACTTTTACATAAAAACAAAGATCTTGGTCTCTCCCAGGTGGTTTTCTCTCTGTACCTTTTCTCCCCTTTACTCCTCTTGGCTACTCTGGGGCCTGACAGAGCTGGAGTGTGACCATCATTTTAAAGCACATGTGGGCATGGCAAGTGCACATGCTGGAAGCTGCCGGATGTTGCCAGAAGCGAGTGCAGTGACAAAACCAGGTGACATGCAGCTTGATTCAGCTTTCTGTTCTCAAGCTAACCAGGCAAATTTCACTCTCTAAAGGCTGCCAAAAAAATGCTTTTAGCACCATTTAGCACTAAAAATATAGTATTACATACAGATTTTTTTCCTCCAGAAATCCTAAGTTGGGTAAAAAATTAACTCTCACTAACTAACTCTCTCTGTGTCTGTCTGTCCCTGTTTCTGTGTGTGCATTGGGTGTGTGGCAGGGGGGATTCTGGAATGTTACATCTCAAGGTCTGATATACTAGCTAGGAGAGAGCCCAGAACCTGTCCATCCAGGATGGGTGGCAAGGGTCTAATCTGGTAGGAGATGCGTAAAGCTTGGTGATCAGGTGACCAGGAGGGTAAGCCTACCTCCTGGGGCTAGAGGTAAGTCATTTTACCTCTCTGGGCCACAGTAGCTCCCTCATCCGCAAAGTGGCTGTCCAAATGTCCTGCCCACTACTCAGAGTGGCTGCCAGCAGGAAGCAGGCCCATTATTATTCCAACCTTCCCCGTCCCTGCTTGCACACCTTCTGCCATGTGGCTTTGCAGTGCCTCTCGCTGGAGGCTGAGTACATTTCCCGGCCTGGAAGTGGCCACGGTCATATGACCTGCTTTGGCGAGTAAAATGTAGGCGGAAGTGACAGCATGTTGGTTCAGAGCCTGGACTTAAAGAGGCCTCATGAGTTTCCATTCACTCTTGTGCTTCTGCCATTGATGTAATAATAAGGAAGTCCAGGTAGTTGTTGGTCCAAGGAATAAAAAGACCTAAAAGGGACCTGAAACAAATCTGCCCATCCTGGATCAACTGACCTGCAGACCCATGGCCATGAGAATAAATAACAGTTGTAAAAACCATGGACTTTGGGGACTATTTGTTAGGTAGCATTGCTGTGGCAGCAGCTGACTGATACAAAGCATGCTATGGATTTCCTTCTGGCTGAACTCATTGAAAGCAGGTTTTCTGTCATTTGTCACAGAGTCTGATGAACAAAGCTGGGTCCTGGGGTGGCACCTGGGGTGGGACCCCCCTCCCTTCAGTCTATTCTCTCCCAGACCCTGCTGGGTGCTACCCCCCTCAGTCCATCCTGCTTGGACTAGGTTCTCTGAGTGGCCCTGGCAAAGGTTAGACGGGTGCCAGGTGCTTGGAGCCTGAGCCAGGTACTCAGGCAGGAGCCTCTGAGGATAAAGGGCACAGGAAGGCTGATGCAGGATCTTCCCTTCACTGAACTCCAGTTTCCTCTTTCTTGGGAGGGGGCACAGTCAGCCACACACTCGAGTCTGCCATCAGGGTTGATGGAAATGTGACTCCAAAGAACTCCCACTCCTTTTATTGTGGGTCCTATACCCAAACTAAAATCACCCCTACCCAGCCTCACCCTCCATTGTGCCCCTCATGGTAGGGACCACACAGGAATGGATGTTCTCAGGAGGGTTTGCTCAGTGAATACAAGAATGAGTCCCTGTGAAGAAATAAGTGTGGGTGTTCCTCTACCACAGGCTCTAGCTCTCTGGAACTTCAGGCTTTTGAGAACTGCGCCTCAAGCCAGTGGGCAGAGAAACAGGGCCCAGGGAGGCAGGTGGTGGCTGCAACTCTTAAGTCCATTTCGCCCAAAGGCCCCTGGGTCAGGGAAGGCTGTCCCAGCCTCCTTCACTCCTCTTAGTAGTGTCCATGCCACCTGGACAAGTGCCAAACAAAGGCAGCTAGCTTGGCAGAGCAGTGCCACCTCCTGCAGCCAGCCACAGCTCCCTGTGGCTAGTATCGACTATTGGAAAAGGCCTGGGGGGAGGGTGAATGATCAAAGAAGCTGGCATTGACTGCACTCCCGTACCAGGCACATTCTAAGCACTTTCTAAACTCTGGTCTGCTACTCTTAGGTGTCATGTATTCTATCAATAGCTCCATTTCAATTGAATTCTTCACTTCCCTCTTGTTGGGCAGGAAGGTTGTTTCAGATTTTTGAAATGCTGAAGTGTTGCAATCAACCTTCTTGTACAAGGAAGGCCCTGTGAGCCAGAGTTTCTGTAGGGTGCCTAGCAA